AGAGAATCTATCTATACTGTGATCATGCACAGATATATATATTTTAACGCTAGCAGATAAGGCTTATATATATATAGGCCACGCCATAGGCTATAGAGCATTTATAGTTCCTAATCCGGCCTCCTACTATATAGTAAAGTTTAGGCTTCTTTAATCAGGTAAGGCGAACCTCTTTATTTGTAATCCGTTTGTATAGCTTACACACTTTAATAAGCGCTCTAAAGCAGAAGTTTGCTTACTATTATAAGTTAGTTATAGGCGTTACCTACTAAGTATATAGCTAGCATATATATTTCCTATACTGTAATAAAGGAAATATATTATTTATTATATTACTTCCCTCTTTAAAAAAATAATTGCCCTTAATTAAAAGGGCAAGTCGAAGAGCTGTATAAGTAATTCTTAGATTGGCTCGAATAATGCGTAGAATATTTCGTTTTTGAACGCGATTTAATATAGGGGGTCTACCAGACCGTGGCAAGCTATTGCCTTCGTTACAGAGTGGATTTCGTACGAGGGTGTTGAAAACAGTGGATTTGCCGCAAGTAACTTTTTCGCTAATTTCTGCATTTGACAGCCCCACAGCCTTATAAGCTGAAATCTGACCGCGTTGAAATGGAGATAGCTCCTTGCCATAGCTCCTATTGATTTCTAGAGGCGCCAAAGCCCTGCGTTGATTCATGGTGGTTGGTTGAAAAGGGTAGTAAAAAACGCGTGTTTCCGTAATCTAGAACTTTTTCTTGTGAGAAAGTAGTGCTACCTTGCAGAAATCGACGCGCCCGGCAGTCCAGTCTTGCCCTTTTCTGCCACCTCACGGAAATGAGGCCTGCCTCAAGTCTCGGAAACGTCAGTCCATCAGCAAGCTTGTTAAGATTCCTACAAGCGCAGCGAGATACTCTGTGCTTCTTCTCGACGAGCTCAAGTACTGATTCGACCTCCGCTCTCCTGCACGGCCCTCGACTGCTAGAACAGTGCCAGAGGAGGGTCAGCTACGTGGAGTCTCGAAGAGAAAGACCTATTCCTGCGACATTGCGTGCATCGTATCTCGATATACTGTGGCCCAGACATTGTGAGGGTGCCACCCAAGCTCTCCCGGCTCCTGCACCAAACCACCTCCAGCACTACCGTTCTTCCCAGAGCATACAGCAGCAACATCGGCATGCGTCCACCGATTCACAATCCTTCTTCCAACGACTCTTCTCCTTCAGACACCGAAAGAACCAATCGAAGCTTCATCCTTCCGACCTTCCTCCAGGCCAAAATTGTGACGACCCCTCGAGTCAGCTCTTCAATCTCTCCCGTTCGCTGTTGAGATCTACCGCCGGCGCCGATTTGAAGCTGCGATGCACAGAGTTTGATGCCAACGGATCAGTCACGCTGGTGTCGGGTGAATTCAAGAAGTCCGAGCTGATCGCAAAATATGGCCTGCTCCCACGCGACCTTCGAAAAATCGACTCTTCTGTACTACCACATATTCTAGTCCGCCCGTCCGCTATTCTCATTAATCTTTTACATCTACGAGTTCTGATACAAAGCGATCGCGTTCTTGTCTTTGATGCTTACGGTTCTACGGATTCCTATACCCAGAGTTTGTTCATGTACGACCTAGAAGGAAAATTGAGGCAGAAGGCGGACGCGCGCTTGAATGGCAATAGCACATATCTCCCTTACGAATTTCGGGCACTGGAAGCGGTTCTGATATCTGTCACATCCGGGCTGGAGTCGGAGTTTGAGGGTGTTCGCGAGCCGGTCGTGCGTGTTCTGAGGGAGCTTGAGGAAGATATCGATAGAGAAAAGCTGCGCCACCTACTTATCCACTCAAAGAAGTTGGGCACGTTCGAGCAGAAGGCTCGACTTGTTCGAGATGCAATCAATGATCTCTTGGACGCCGACGATGACCTGGCCGCCATGTACCTGACAGAGAGACGTGCGCTGGGTAAGCAGCGAGAGGAGAACGATCACCAAGAAGTTGAGATGCTGCTCGAATCCTACCACAAGATATGCGACGAAATTGTGGAGATTTCTGGAAACTTGATTGGCAACATTCGAAACACCGAGGAAGTGGTCAAGGCAATTCTCGACGCAAATCGAAATTCGCTGATGCTTCTAGAGCTGAAGTTTAGCATTGGCACCTTAGGACTTGCTGCAGGAACTCTGATCGCAGGCCTCTATGGCATGAATCTGAAGAACTTCATTGAAGAGTCTGATGTTGCCTTCCCTGCTATCAGTGTCATTTGCATCGGCTTAAGCGCTATCGTTGCCTTGTATGGCATGAGGAAGCTGCGAAAGGTGCAGAAAGTCCGTATGTGGGGTGAAGGGTATGGTTCACAATTGAACAGTGTTAGGGGTAATTGGAGGAATGAAGCTATGGAGCATGCTGGTCTGGGAGCGCTGCCTGGGGAAACTCGACTCGAGAGGATCAAAAGACAGAGACAGGAGAATGGTCCTGTTCTATGGCCGGGCATGGACGGCCTGGGAGTAGACAAGACTCCGCCACAGCCTACGGTACCTATTCATGACAACACAGTCAGTAATCAAACCACGATGAAGGGGAACGTCAAGACAAGATTGAGCGCAACTCCGGTTCCCGCTGTATCACCCACCATAGGCATCAAGAAATCACCCTGAATGGATCTATCTGCTCAATACGAGCTATACATGACACATAATCTCCAGTCTCAAGTGAGACAGGATATCAGATCAGCAATTACCTTTGCCTGTCTCTGCGTTTCCGGGCTTCCTGCCGCTCCATCCACCTATCAAAACACCCACGACAGCCGCGCAAACGCCATCTTACACCATGATACCAAGGAGAAGAGGTGTCATTTTCTCACTTGCCAGCAATCGTGTCGCAAAACCAAGACTGTTAATCCGAACCCGGCCAGCAACGGGCATGTAGAGCCATTCGGGGCATCTATGGTATACATCTGCGCCATACACGATTCCAGCGGCAGTGCAGAACGCGCCCGAACGTGCCGAAAGATGGTTGGTAGTATGGCTTGAAACAAGTACTCTGTCCACTGGACCGGAATACGACGGCAGAGGGCTGGTGATCGAGTTGCTATGTACAGGGTTCGGGCTTACGAGAAGGTCTAGACCTGTGAAGAAGCATGAATATGAGCAATAGATGCGAGAAAGCAATGGCATCATATACCGAGTCCTGGAGCACCCGCCATCCATCCGGGACTGGGCTTGTACGATCACGAACTTGGGCAAGGTAGAAGACGGCTTTATCTGGGGAGTACAGTACCAGGTCAAATAGATGAGCCCTCGTTTCTAGTGCGGTACTAGTAGCTACACGATTGTACATACCCAATCTACTCACTCAGAGAGACTCAATAAGGACAGGTTCCCTGTTACAAAGAGTAACCAGCGCACAGAATGATAGAATGCTTCACAGGTCGGGGCTCTGCTACGACTTGAATTCGTTCTGACAGCTGGACACGGGTAGATCAGAGGTGAATTTGCCAGGAAGCCCGTGACTTTATCAGTGGGGCCCCTCTACCTAGATTCCGCCACCGGGGATGGATCCTATTTTACTTCGAAGAGTGTCGCTATATTTTCGAGCCTACTACTACTAACTTAGTAGTAGGACCGCAGCGTTGGGTTCTGGCCAAGACAGAATTCGGCCTCTGACTTCTTACCTGGAGAAGGGACTTTTGAAAAATCACGCTGGATTGGTCCTTGGCGGATTCACAGGATCATTGGACATTCAACGAATCGTCAATGACCCCTCGGATGACCATAATTTTTTGACCGGTCATGTGGCCAACCATTTTGAGAGAAAAGACCTCTGAAACAATCCCAATTGGAATCAGATTTAGAATGTTTCTTAGCAGTATCCATTTTACAGAAAGCTACATCATAATACCGGTCAGGCTTGGACTATACACACATTGATGGTATGATGTACGGAGTAATTTAGGCATACTACGTAACTTTCAGAGGGCCTGATCCTGCTAAGTTCCCCCCGGGCGGGCCGGAGGGGCCAGGGCCCCCTGTAAAGAGTCCGCTAGTTATGTTTTGGTGCTGCAGACAAAGTTCGAATGAGAGCATTTACCGCAGAAGCACAGATGGGGGGCAAGCTATCATCCGAACCTACCCGTCCCATATGCAATACATACAGTACTAACGCAAAAGTATCTACCCGCGAACGCGCTCCCCGCACCAAATTTCTACACGCGTTTTTGCCCATATCTTTTGCAACAGCCACCACGCAATGCCTAGAAGGCCTTTGGAGCAGATTTCTGCTAATATCCCTCGAGGAGAAGAGCTTACACCCTATACCCGCTCAAAAATTGTGACCCTACACGAAGAAGGCGTTACAATTAGTGATATTTCGAGGCGCTTGAAAATCTCCGAAAATACTATCAAATATACTATCAAGATAGATCCACACCGTAACGCTGGCAAGACTCTAATGCGTAAAGGGAGGCCACAGAAGTACACAGAAAGAGATAAGCGACGAATCATACACTTTGTGCGAGTTTATCCAAAGGCTACATACGCAGATATTTGTCAAAATATCCAAATTCGGCTCTCTCATGATACCCTTGGTCGCATTCTTGATAGCGTTGGAATTAAGAACTGGAGAGCTAAGGGAAGACCAGCATTAGATTCAGCAGACGTAAAAGTACGGCATGCTTGGGTGTTAGCTCATCAGAAATGGACTACTCAATGGGAATCCATCATCTTCTCTGACGAATGTTCCGTTGAACGAGGGAAAGGAGCCCAACGCGAATGGGTCTTTTGATTACCATCCCAAAAATGGTCTAAAGAGATGGTTTAGCCATACAAAAAGAGCGCAGATATCAATATTATAATATGGGGTGCAATTTGGCTTGGTGGACGTTCAGATTTGGTCATAATGGATCATGATAATAATTCTAAAGGAGGGAGATATACGGCTAATTCATATCTCAAAGTTCTTAAAGAAGAGATGCCAAAATGCTTTCAATCTGGCATGACCTTTATGCAGGATAACGCAAGTATCCATATAGCTAAAAAGGTCAAGAAATGGTGCGAAGATAATGCTATACCACTGCTTGATTAGGCACCCTATTCGCCAGATATGAACCCAATTGAACATGTATGGGCGAAGTTGAAGGAGTGAATATGTACGCATCATCCAGAGCTATTGAATATGGGCAAATCTCAAGAGGCCTATAATCAATCAGCTAAGGCAATTGAAGAGGCATGGAATACCCTAGATCAAGAGTATATCAACAATTTGATAAGGGGTATGCCCAACAGGGTAAAAGCGCTTCGTTTAGCTAAAGGCTGGCACAACAAGTACTAGGATCAAGATGCCCAATTAGGAAGTCTTATAGCCTCAAGTCAAGCTATTAACGAACATTTTGCAACGGGTCTCGTCAAATTCCGACAAGTTTACAGTGTGTAGTAGTAAATTGTATGAGGGGGTGTAACAAGTTGGGTGGGGCGCAAAAATTCCGCGGGTAGATACTTTTGCGTAGTCACTGTAAATGTTTACGCATACTATACGAGGAAGCTCAGATGTTAGAAAATCGTTTGATGCGTTAAATCTTCTTTTTCCTATTCAATTTTGATTCAGATTTGGCCTTCTCCGTAGGTTCCACGACCGGCACAGACGTGAAGAACGATGGCCACACCAACTCCACATCGTCCTGTTCACCGTTAAGACAGTACCGCAGCCAGATACTCCAGGTCAAGTTAATATATTGGGCGACGCTGGTAAGGATATGCCTGTGAGGTGGAAATCAGTGACGACGGAACAGTACGCCAGGAAGAGAGTCGCCCACCACCACCCGTGACCCTCCAGCAGAATCCCCCACGGCAAACCGACGTCTCGACGCCATCGCCGGAGGATGGGACAGTAAGCGTTGTCCAGGTTCCAGATCAAGAAGCCGAGACCCACGGAGCTCAAGCTGACGGTGAGCATCTGCCACATCCTCCGGAGAATGGCTAGGTCGCGTTGATCCTCCCTCGCCTGCTCTCCAGAAGTGGCCTTATGGGATTGGTTCGCCTGAGATCGCCTTACCGGTCGAAGTGTGACTTCCATGGCGTATATGCTCTTGAAGAAGACGATGGCGGTGAGCAAGGCGAACATGTTCTGGTGAAAGAGCGGGTTTTTGAGGTAGTGGTAGTACAAGGTGATAAACATAGCTAGGAGGAAGACTGACAGGGCGATTACCACTTTGGTAGACGTAGCTCGTCTGTAAGAGAAGATGGAATAGAACATGATGCACGTGGTGTAGATCATGGCGAGTTCGTCAAGGAGCTGCGTTGTATCTGCCGAGTGTAAGCCACCCTTGGGACCGGGGGTCTGGCTGAGGGAGAGATCGACGTACATTTCAGAGTGGTGTGAAAGCAAAAGCTTGCAAGGCCGATGACCAGATAGCTGATAAAACCGACGAGAAAGACCGTGTCATGACCATTACGGATACAGCTGGAAATTCCTTTATATGCCAGAGATATGAAGGCTAGATTGGTGAAAGAGTTGACGATCTCAGCGCAGTATATGCTAGCATAATAGTCCTACAGCGGTCTATTAGCCATGCAAGGCGCTACCAAGAGGTGAATTTTCTTGCCTCCTCGCACCAATTTATGGTTGATGTGACTGGGCTCCAGGCTCCGTTTCCTGCGGACGGATAAGGAAAAGACGGTAAATAGGACTTCATCGTGATCAGCTATAATGTTACATAGGATATTCTCTTGTTATTGCGGTTTGAGCCGCACGCGACCGAGAGAGGCTGGAAGAGAGATTAAGCTGAGGTTTATCGTATTTCGCCCCAGAAACGCTACGCGAGGCTGCCGAATACTTGGTGCTGCGGAGAAGTAAGTTCTAGCATTGCGTTAAACATTCTTGAGTAATCATGTACACTTCTCATGGACTTGATTTGTTCAGAGGGCGAATTCCAGCGTCTTGACCACTTTTCAACCTCATTTGATGAAGATCGATTGGTCGTCTTTTGCAACGCTTTTGATTGGTGATATACTAGTATTTACTAGTACTACAGGAGGGGCCTGAAGTATTGTTAGTCTGGTGCTAGGAGCAGCTAGTTCTTACTACAGTGACATAGTGTCGTGATTCGTCAATAGAAAGCTTGTTCTGTCTGCATCCATTCTAATAAGTCAAATCATTACATCTAACTTCTTTTGAGCATAGCGGCTCTGTACAGAGAGAGTTTACAAGCAAAGATACTAGCGCTGAGCTGACAATACTTCAGGCCCCCCCGTAGTTGGCTGGAACTCATTTCTTGGCAGCTCCAAGTAATAGATTGCTTGTGATTAGATTTATATACTATACTGGGACATGCAGGAGGGACTTGAGCCTCCCCTTCCACCCCCGGTTGGTGCTTCGTGGTAGGCTTAGGTGTAAATGTCTTTGCTTCGGCAATAATACCGAGCTTGGGCAGCACCAAGTCATAGAAGGGCAATGCGGTGGCCAGCGAGAACAACGGCGCTTGTCGGAAAAGACCACCTGAAGTCTGAACACGGGTGATAGCTGAAGGTAGTTGACATTGTGCTATGGATTGAGGTGAGTTGCTGGAAGGATACTACGGTACCAGGCATAAATTTCGTTACTTCGCTCTAGTAATATTGTCATCTGATACCTCTGTTCCCTTGGATGATGGCTCCCCCTTGTGTCACTTAATGCGCTCATCGCGTTAATTGCTGTTTGAAAAGCTGTGCCCACGGCCTGTCTTATAGGGCTGCGCGAATCAGTGCCAGAGAGATGCCAGAGCCTTATAAATGCTGATGGTGTGCACACCAGATTCTGGATAGGCTAGGTCAAATCGAGCGATTTTGTGGCGTTCTACCTTGGCGATTGCAAGCCTTTACTATATTTACCATCGTCGAAACTAAGCTGGGCTTGCCAGCCTTGGGCAGCTCAGCATGGATCATATGGGCTAAAGAAGGGCTGCGTACAAGAGAGACCCGCCCCTTTGTGGCCACCAGGCCTGTCAAGAATGACTCTGGGCTCAGCTGGCCTGCAAGCGGCCTTCATTTTGGATCAATCTGCCGCGTAAGAATCAACCTGTCGAACTAAAATTGGGGTGGGGCCGGGCCGCAGTCGCGGAAGAAGGAGGCAATCCCCCAGGCTGCCTATCTTGGGCTTCCAAACTCTGCGCAACTCTTTCGGGCGGATAAACTCCACGCTGACTGGGCCATACGTTGTTCCCCAAGCTGCTGGGCATACGGTAGACAACCCTGTGCGGATAAGACGTCGCTTCATGCCGTATGAAGGTAACTTGCGGTTCTATGGAATATTTGATATAAATTCCTATAAGGCGGTAGGATGCACTTCCCCCTAGCCTTAGGCCTCCTTTCTTGATTGTACCCCTTCTCCCCTCTCACTATCCAAGGAGTTCTCCAGACAAAAGTTATGCTCAGTAGTCCGGCTCTGGACAAGAACCTATTTGCTGTCTCTCATCTCCCTTAACCAAATTTCTTTAGGTGCCACAGATAGGCGACACTGGATGAGAGGTATGTTCTCCCAGCGTAAATGTTCTTCACATATGGATGACTGATCTGGGCAGCTCTACGAAAGTGTTTTTTCTCACTTAGCCAGTCTAATGGCACACTCCGTCAGGATCGTTCTTCCCGTCCTCGTACTTTTGGGCTTTCATCTACACTTTGCATCAGCAGCGCGACACCAATTTAAAAAGTGGTACCCAGAATTTGGCTTTATCTTCGATCACATTCTCCACACCAACTGCACCAAGGAATATAACGTCTATCTCCACGCTGCGAAAGACATTTCGCACGTGGACCGTTACACCGGTGGTGGCTGGACGAGCCAGCTAGCACAACCAGTTGTCAATTGCATCTTGGAAAATACCTCCGAGTTTGTCAAGAGCAATGTTGCCAGTGTCCAAGTCTTACTTGGCTTGTCTCCTCCCATGTTGGCAGTTCTTGGCCCCAGCGCAGAAGAAACATTGTTGTTGGAAGGCGCCCGTTCCTGGCTCTCTGCATTGCCGCTGGATCGCCCGCTGTATTTCCGATGCGCTTTTTCGCTAACAAGGACCCGATCGGACTCCTGAAAAACCGCCAGACTCTTTTAAGTCCACCGCCACTCAAATATGTGCACGCACTCATCGTGATGGCTCTTGAGTATCTGGTCGTTTTAGCCGCCATTGCCAACGTCATCCACCTCAGCAAGTAGCTCGGTGATCAAGCAGTCTGTAACTTCGCCCCCAATCTAACATACCTTGTCCTGTTATGGGCATTTTCTATTATAATTGCCCACGGCCTAGGTTCCATTGCTCCTTTCCTCCGTACCCGCGTGAGCTCTGACAAATCCTCCAGCGGGATGCTTCACTGGATCAGGATACAGTTCACGCCTTTTGAAAAACAGGGGTCCATCACTGTAAAGGTGATCCCCGAAACATACTGGTTCCTGTTTCTCTCGTGGTTCACCGCCATCTTCACGGTTTGCCACGTCGTATACGGCACCCTCAGTCTTTCGAGTATGCTTTTCATATCCGTTCGAAACAGCCTTACTGTCATAGGCCGCTTTTTCTTGTCTGTCATATGCTGCCGAATTGTACTCATGTATGAGTTGGCCAAGCTTAGGGACACCCTTGATGTTGGCGATGTCAACGGCTCTGAGATGGAACTCGAGAACTTTAATGTAATGTCTCGGTGCTAGTGCCATCCTCTATGAGATTGAACTGGCATCTTCGGGATCTTATCTTTGCCACGGTCTTAGAGAATCTCTCGGGCTAATATTTTTGGGAAGGGGTGTGTCGCAATAACATAGTCGGCATTTTTGCTGGCAACCATGACGGCTTTGGCGTTTGTGAAGAGGGTGTAAATGAATAGGAATGTACGAGTCACCTGGTTCCCTGCTTATCCTTTACTACTAAGTGTAAAGATTGGAGTCTACTAGATATGTTTCATATTGAAATGATGCTAAGCTTCATCTAATTCATTTGATATAGATCTTACATATGTAAGATTCTCTTTTGAGAAATTGGCACTCCATGTACACAGAATAATAGGCTCGATTTACGAAAATAAACATATCAATATTCAAAAAGTAAAAAGTAAATAGATCGAGATCTACTAATCTACAGCTACCAGATAATATAGATCTAAGGATATCTAGTTGCGTATCAAGGATTTGCAACACTTTCGTAATGCACAGTAGTAAGTATGGAAGCCAAGATTTCCGCTCCCGGGACCGCGGGGGTTTCCCTTCAACCATGATTCCTTTCCGTACCTGGTGCAAACAAGCCTACATCATGTAGTAAAATATGCCAGCGGGCAGCAGCACCCAACCGCCTGTGAAGCTGTCGCTGCCTCTGGTAAGTCCAATCGATATACTACCATCGAGGACAAGGCTGACGACAACCAAAGCAATTTCAACAAGATCTCTACAATCTCCTCCGCGCCGAAGATCTCCTTGTGATTCTTGCTCGTGGCCTTGGTCTCCTCAAAATCGTCACTAATCTCCTCCATTCCTATGATGCTACAGGAAACAGTCTTGTCATCGTCGTTGGTGCCGAGGATCGCGAGAATGACTGGATTGGCGAAGCCCTCGCGGAGCACTATGCCATCTCTCGAAGCGCTCAGGCCAGGGGTCTGCGGGTCATCAATACCGAGAAGGCGAGTGTGCCGATGAGAGAGAAGATATACGCAGAAGGTGGTATTGTTAGCGTGACGAGCAGAATACTGGTGGTCGACCTGTTATCGAAACTGCTTGATCCTGAGACTGTGACTGGACTTGTTATTCTTCATGCAGAGAAGATCATCGCTACGAGCGTTGAGGCATTCATTGTCAGAATCTACAGACAGTTCAACAAGATCGGGTTTCTCAAGGCGTTCTCAGATTCCCCGGAGCCCTTTGTCTCGGGGTTTGCGCCGCTGGCCAACATGATGCGCAATCTATTCTTACGGAAACCGAGTCTGTGGCCAAGGTTTCATGTCACTGTTGCACAATCACTGGAGGGAAAGAAGAAGGCTGAGGTGATCGAGCTGGAAGTGCCGATGACGGAGTCGATGAGGGCGATTCAGAATGCGATACTGGAATGTGTCGAGGTCAGCATCGGCGAATTGAAAAAGGCCAACAGCGGACTGGAGATGGAGGATTGGACGCTCGACTCGGCTCTGCATAAGAACTTTGATGTCATCATTCGACGGCAGCTGGATCCGGTTTGGCATCGAGTGAGCTGGAGGACCAAGCAGATCGCTGGCGACCTTACCGTACTACGCTCCATTCTGCACTCCCTGCTGAGCTATGATTGCGTCTCTTTTGTCAAGTACCTCGATACAGTGCTGGCTGCGCATTCACCACCACCTGGCTCTACCCGCCAAAATCAATCTCCATGGCTTTTCCTTGACGCAGCCAATACCATATTTCAATCCGCAAGGTCTAGGGTATATAGTGGGAAAGTCGATGATGGCAGTGTGCTACCAACCTCGAATCTACCTGATACATTAAGACCTGTGCTAGAAGAGCAGCCAAAATGGGAGCTATTATCCGATATTCTGGATGAAATTGAAAGAGAGAATTACTTCAATCCAGTCATCCGGGATGACTCTAACGGGACCATTCTTATCATGTGCAATGACCAGCCAACGTGTCGTCAAGTACGGGAATATCTTCAGACCATGCGGCTAAAGGCTACAAAGCCTGAGGAGAATGGTACAGGCCAGGCCCCGCACGAGGTAGAGGAAGAGGCAGAAAAGCCTTCCGCCGAGTTCATGCTTCGCCGGAAGCTGCGAGAGTATCTGGTGTGGAAGCGCACTTTTGCGCAAGTGAGCGCTTCTCTCTTCGAGGAAAACCAGAAATCCCTCAACGGCATCAAGGAAGCATCAATATCAAACAATTTCCGTGGTAGAGCACCACCAAACAAACGACGTCGGATCCGTGGAGGTGGCGCTGCTGGCACAAACCCCAGAACAGCTAATGGCGCCGTGTCTGCTGCAGATGAGAAAGCGGCCCAGGTCGCAAATCTTCTGGCTGAAATCCAGCCAGCAGGAGATGAGACTCTAGTGAAAGAAGACGTTGTGATAGACGACCTCACCGAAGCCGGCGACGACTTCTTCGAGCTCTACGATCCCGATGACTCCCTGATAATCCACCCCTACGACGCCGACATGGACGATAATCTCCTGGAAGAACTCCGGCCCCGCTACATCATCATGTACTCCCCCTCCTCAGACTTCATCCGTCGCGTCGAAGTGTACCGCTCTTCTCACACTGACCGCAACGTACGGGTCTACTTTACCTACTACGGCGGCAGCGTGGAAGAGCAACGCTATCTCTCCTCTGTCCGCCGCGAGAAAGACGCCTTCACCAAACTCATCCGTGAACGCGGCTCTATGGCGATTACCCTCACAGATACAGGGGCTGTGGATCCGCAAGAAGCCTTCCTCCGCACTGTCAACACCCGTATCGCTGGTGGCGGCCGACTAGCAGCAACAGCTGCCCCACCCACCGTCGTGGTCGATGTCCGTGAGTTCCGCTCCGCGCTCCCGAGTCTGCTGCACGGGCGCAGCATGGTCGTCGTGCCCTGCCAGCTCACCGTGGGCGATTACGTTTTATCACCCAGCATCTGTATCGAGCGGAAGTCAGTGCGCGATCTCATCTCCTCCTTCAAAAACGGACGGTTATTCAACCAAGCCGAGACGATGCTCCAACACTACAAGAACCCATTCCTCCTCATCGAGTTCGAACACAACAAATCATTCACCTTGGATCCCTTTGCCGATCTGAGTTCCATCTCGACACTCAAGCTGCCGGAGAATGACAACAAGGACCTCCAATCCAAGCTTGTCCTCCTGACTCTGGCGTTCCCGCGACTCAAGATCATCTGGTCGTCATCGCCCTACCAAACCGCCGAGATCTTCGAGGAGCTGAAGAAGAACCAGGAGGAGCCGGATCCGATCCGCGCCGTGCAGATCGGGCTCTCTCCCGAGGAAGAAGCGGGGGGAAGCATGGTGGGTGGGGAACAGGCAGGTGCGGCAAGGACGTTCAACCCCGTCCCGCAGGACCTGTTGCGCTGTGTGCCAGGTGTCGATAACAAGAAGCTGCAGCGGTTGGTGCTGGAGGTGCGCAATGTGCAGGAGCTGGCGAATATGAGTGTGCAGGAGTTGGATCCCTTGGTGGGCGTGGAGAGCGGGAGGAGGATCTGGAAGTTTTTCAACCGCAGTGTCTTTGAGGGGGAGGGGGAAGCGTGATGGAAACATGAAATAACATCATGAGGGAGAGGCTCTTGTGTGGGTTTAATAGGAAAACAATGGAACGGCATCTGGGCGTGATTGTCTTCCTGCTTTAGACCAGGTTCTCGCTTGTGGATTCGGGACTAGTCTATGGATATGTGTCGTATGCTGGAATTTGAATGACAAGAGATCAGTATGCTGAAGAAAGAGAGACCTGATACGCCACTCTCTTGCACCGTCGTTCCCCTCCTCCCTGGCTGCGGGCCTGCTTCTGGTCCATTGTGCTCCTCCGTCAATGTCCCTGCAGCTGCTAACCACTACCGCTTCCTCTACGCAAACACCTGGCCCTGCCTCTCAGCCTCCCTCGCCCACCCTTTTTTTTTACTCAACATTGTGCTCCCAATCCAACTCCCCCAAGACCATGCAGTCGAACCACTCGGATCTCGGATCTCAAATCTCATCGATATCGATGTCCTTGCCATCGTCACTGCTTCCGTCGCGATCCTCGTCGAACTCGACATTATCATCCACGCCCTCATGACCGTACGTGTCGGTCTCGTTGATCTTGGCGCTCTCGGGCAGCTCGCCGTAGGCCTTCAGGCTCCTGGCCTCATCGGCGCTGTACTTGAGGATGACGTCGCCCTTTTCGTCTTGGTAGTCGCGCAGCGAGAGGAGGATGATGTCGCCTTGGTTGATCCAGACCTTTTTGCGGAGTTTGCCCTGCAGCGAATTATGGGGGTTAGTCTTTTCTTGGAAACCCAAAAGCCTTTGTGGTTTTAGGTTCGGAGGGGGGCTCGCTTTTTTTTCCCCTGGAGGCGGGAGAAGAGGGTGGGAGGGGGGGATGATTGGTGGCATACCCGGATATGTGCTAATCGTTTTTCGCCATCGAAGCAGAGGGCTTCCAGGCGGCCGTTGCCCAGCATCTTGAGGACTTGGGCATATTCTTGACCTTCCTCTTTGAAGGTGAGTTCGCGCTTTTCGTTGTCGTTTTCGTTCTTGCCTCGTCGCCGGTTTTTACCTCCCTGTGGGCACGGTGTTAGTACATATGAGTATGGGAGCAGTAGGAATGGGTGATATGGTATTTGGGGGTGGTGGGTGTCTCATTGGTGGGGTTTGTCTGGGACGTACCTTTCCCTTGTTCTTGGGCATGGTGAATGTGCTCTGTGGTTCTGAAAATGGTCGGAGGGAAAGTTTTGATCAGGATGAATTCTTCTGTTGTAGGTTCTGCAGATGTCGAAGATGCGATAAGTTGGTGGTTGTGGGAAGTATGTAGTATTTTATGAAGCACATGGTGGGATGAAAAGGTCCCGCGGCTAGCGAGTCACCACCGCATCTAGCCACTCAGCGAATACTTCTCTTTGTCCCTACAATTAAATCTTCAAGGCTTTATTCCAACATGTTCTCCTGACTTTTGGGAAGGTCCTCGAGGATGTTCGTACAGGATTACTAAGATGACATCCTATTCCCTATCAATCGGGGCGTTGAGTCGTCCCAACTCCAGACAAAATGGTCGCCAGATGGCATTTCCCCCAAATACCCACACTGCGTCTACCCCGATCGACGACAATGCCCGCGAACCTCTTCCAGATGTTCTACACGCCAGTCTTTGCGCCATGGCGCTGGGACCGGGAACACCTAACGCCGAATGATATCTTGTACCCGAAGCTGATGGATAGCTACCAGAACATGCCCAAAGATATTCTCCGGTGGCATGTTGTCGCCAATACCGCGGTCAAGGAAGTTCCCAAGGCTGTCATGAGGGAGCGGCTACGCAGGAGACTACGAGAGGCTTTTCGAGACGCCTTGAAGCAGCTGGGGTATGACTGGCACGGAAGAGTCTTGCAGCCAGGGCAAGCGACGGGGCAGCCGTTGAATGATCTGAAAGGCACGTGGGAGATCCATTGCCGGGGCCGTGCTGGGCTGGATTGCGAGTTTCTTGAGCTTGTCAACTATGCGAAGAGCGCTGTCTCTGCTGTGGACAAGTCGTGCAAACAGCACGCTGGCATAGTTCGAAAGGTTGGCAGGGAAGCTCAATGGTGGGAGGGCGTCAGTGCATAGTACTGCCCTCTATTGACACCACAGAAGAGGCATGATATCTAACTTCTGCTGCAGATGATCGGCCTGAGGCAGATTGACAAATTTCGTGGTGCCGTGTTGACATGATCTTGGGAAAGCGGAGACGGCTGCAGATTTTGTCAATGGGCATCGGTCCTAACATAGACAAGGGATTTGTGCAACTCCTCAAGATTATCCCGTCATGATACGTTATGTTATCTCTCGGCAACCAGACGCCGTTTCAGCTTGATCATCCTTTACCTTTTCGCAAGAGGGTGTTTTCGTGGAGGTATTCTATGAGCGACTGGAATCACTTGCATCAAGGCTTGCGTCCTAAGGTTTACCTGTGCGTTGCATAAGTACCCCGGAATCTTGACGGTACATCCAGCATTGCTACTGCTCGTAAGGGCTATCTTTCTCCGCGACGGCGCGGTCCATCAATCTCAATATTGCGCCAGGGGCACGCATACTTGCGACGTTTCACAGAAGGATGTGACCATGAGATAAACTACGAACAGGGGCAGATATGGCACTAGAATCTTCTAGTGACCATCCAATACCCAGTGATTCAACAGCATATAAGAAAGACCAGTCCATGACTGACCATGACACCGGTGAGAGGCGATCAACCTCCAAGAAGGACGAGCAGGCCAACCAATGTCCATAGATGAATAACAACCAAGCCAATGGATAGCCACTGCGCTTCGAGCAGCCACTAACATGAAGCTTCATTCAATCAGGACTAGCAAGAGCAAGGTACAGGACTCATGGTTGGTAGATAGCGATCGCATTCAGGATGTAGAACTCAGGGAGAGTAGTAGTCAATATCGAAATAGTCATGGATATATATTCGGATTTTTGCAACATTATGTCTCACGGGGAATGGCCAGATTTATTTGCGTATAATTTAGCAATACGCTGCCTCAGATTCCGACTTTTCACCTTTCCGCCTTTAACCCCAGAGGACGGCACCGGGTAGCCTTGACTGCCCAGATCAACAGGTGGCGGTCCGGCCGTTGGGACCGGAGGACCGGAATTCGCGTTCTCATGGCGGCTGCCAGGATATCCCCTGGCATGAGCGCCACCGTCCACTTCATTGTGAATGACCACTATTTAAGAGGGCCTCATCCTGCTAAGTAGCAGGGCACTTTTTTAACAAGACTCGCTTAACCAAACTCTATAATGTGTGTTAGCCAATCTGTATGCCGAGCGCCGAATATGTGCTACTTGGGTAGTATGACTGTGAAATGTCGCTCCCCCAACCAGTTGAGCCAGGTCGCGGAAGGACTAGGCGCAGGATAAAATGGCTGAGCCCATCGCACATCCACCTAACACCTACCTCTCCTCCTCGGTCACCATCAATCTCCTCGAGATGAGTGGACTCTGGTCATCGATCCTGTTGTAGTCATGCGCGTCCATGCAAGCGCGACGACTGGTCAGCACAGCTGGCGCGGTTCGGCGGATCATCTCGCGCTCATAAGTGTGGATTGCGTGTTCAAGTGATGCGGACGACGATGAAGATGGCCTGCTTAAATTCGGGAGGAGGCTTTCGAGTAAGATAGCGACGTCGGTGATGCCGTGGTTCGCGCCTTCGCCCCTGACTGGTTTTTAACGCTGGTCAGTAAGTGAGTCCATGGATGGATTTGGCTGGGGATGGTGTAGCGAAGAAGGATAGGAGATATAGAGGCACGTATGAGAATGAGTACTGAGGTTTATGGACGAGTGGGTTTCGGGTGTGGTGCAAAAAGGGAGGAAAGGCATACACATAGTCATAGCATGCGCCGCATCGCCCACCAATGTCACCCTCCCGCCCAAATTATCCCATATCCCTTCACTTGGCACAAAGTCCTCGAGCGTGATCGCCGTCACCGCCGTCCCCTTTTCGGGAATTGATAAGACACACTCCCTGAACGGCTCCGCCCACCCATCTGCCAATTTCTTCATCACCTTGACCCTTTCCTCGTGGTCCTCTGGCACGTCTAGTGGTTCCTTTTCACCGCGGAAGCCGGATCGATAGGGCCAGCTGATGATTATTTGGCATTCGTATGTGTCTCTGGCGGCGCTGTCCTCGGACACAGGATAATTGCCTGGCGAAGAGAGGAAGGAGAAGTACATGAAAGCATTGGTTGCAGGGTCGCCACCTTGGAAGAAGAACGGGTCTAAAGCACGCAGTTTCAGGGCTAGGGAAGCGGGGTAGGGGACGCTGACGCCGAGGAGGCGGATGGGGAGATGATAGGTCGTGATTTTTTGTGAGTCCGGGGTGTGGTGGTAGGAGAGAAGGGTGGAGCGAACACAAGAGTGTACGCCATCGGCGCCGATGAGGAGGGTACCGGTGTAGGTGGTGGAATCGGTGAAATGGACTGTGATTGTGGGAGTGTCAGACTTGGTGGATGTGGGAAGAGAGGTAGTAAACGAAGCAAGGCGTTTAGACCACTACCACCGTAAGAATGTGCTTTGGTCAGCTTGCGCAGCTCGATCAATCCGTTGGAATGGCGTAAACAGCTCAAGTGCAAAGCTGTTCATACCTGGACGTCCAACCCTTCCAGTAGCAGTGACCTCAATCGTTCTCTCGATAGCCGTATCCTCTTATTTGGCGGTACCTTCCATCTCGCCTCTCCACTCCTCAAATCGAAGAATAAGAAATTGCCATTCTCCCCTCTCTCACTGGCTTGACGATCAACATAGACCTCTGGCAAACGATCTACCAGGTGCTGAGGCAACAAGGAGATGAAGGTCTGAAGAGACCAGTGGATCGTAAGACCCCATCCTTTACCACGAAAGGAGACATGTGGGTCTCGCTCGAAAACGGTGAAGGGAATGGACGCTTTCTTCAGAGCTTGGGCTAGAACTAGGCCAGTGATACCGGCCCCAATGATCAGAATATGTGCTTCACATGAAGAGGATGGGGGATGAAAGCTGCGTGCAACATCCATTTTGCGGAGGGGTTGGCAATCGTCACAACCCGCCTCTTCACATCTACACCTATCCCCTCCGTACCCAAACAAGGGGTGTAGAATGGAGCAATTAGCGTCGTCGATCCCTTTTATTTGAGGTTGCCACAAGTTCTGCTCAGCCCGCTCATTAGAGTACCATTTGGAGGAGAGATGCTCTGAAATCAGGGCTTTATAGGCTCACAGAGTAATCTGTTTCTTCTCTATTGATATTAAGTGCTGGTTGAATGAGCTTTTGTGGACGACCTTATTTGAGCATAAAATCTGCTAAATAGACTAATTGCTCCAGCGGGTATGTATTACGGAGGGGATAAGAAGATAACATGTCTTGAGAAGGATTTGGGGGGCCAGGCACCACTCGTATACCGAATGCCAGTCAGTGCGTCTACATCACCTTTCAGAAGTTATGAAGTCTCTTTGTCAATAGGAAATGCTTTCAGTATTTGACATCATGACAAGGCCCATGGCCCAAGGCCCAAGACTCAAGGACTGGAAACTTTTGGTTCATGGCCATGACCGGGACAACGGCTTCATGATCCGAAGCAGAGGTCGCTACGTTTTGTCCTACGTGTTGTCCTACGTTTTGTCAATATACATATCTGAACGATTTGTTCTCCTTATCCGTCCGGTCCTCCCACAAATGCTCCCTATTTTGATCTGTTACTTCAACCTCAACCGGTGCGGCGTCCTTGCGTTTATTAGCCAAGACATAATATACGAATGTGAGGAAAGCCATCAGAGCCGCTGCGGCCTGAGTTGCCAGAACCGTGATTTTGGCAGGAATGTAGTCCGGTGCATCTCTGGCTTGAAAAGTCTGGGGTCCAATGATATTCCCCACGCTGAAGCTTCCGGCAACTAGAGAAACAGCGATGACGCGCTTTGTGTGCCCAGCCACGTTCGATGATGTCCATTGGTATATAATAATGAGCGTTGCTGTGATGGCGTTCACCAGGTAGATGCCTGCGAGTTGGGCTCCGCGATTGCTTGTCGCAAAGGACATTAAGGCTCCACCAAGAATACCAGGAACGCAGCATGCTATTAGCCATGCCCATCGGTTCGATGTGTGGCGGACGCCGTACCCAACGATCAGCGTGCTAAGGATTGATACGATGCCTGAAGGCATGTTGAGGAGGGCAGCGTCTGGAGGCGTGAAGCCAAAGTTTCGAATCAGTGTCGCTGAGTATGTTGTGACTACACCGCTCGAGATTGAGATCTGGAAAGGTAGATCAGCTTAAGAATCTCACTATTAGCAAAGGCCATACCAGAATCGTCAAAACGACCATCAACCACAACTGGACATCGAACAGGATTTCCAATATCTGCCTAGGTTTTACCCTTTTGTTCACAATCCCAGTCTGGTTGACTGCAACATGCTTTAGCAGGACAACTATCTCGGATTCAGACAAGAAGTGAGCCTTCATCGGCGTATCTGGCAGGAAGAAGAAGGTTATGAAGCCGATGATTACAGTCACAAGGCCCAAGACGACGAACATGATCTTCCATCCGGAGAAAAATGGATTCTTTACTTGTTGAAAGGCGAAAGAGACAATGCCGCCCAGAATTTGTCCCAGCCCCAGGCCGGAGTACCAGACACTGAAGCGAGGTGCTGCTTCCGATTTGGTATACCATTGGCTGCTGATGAGCATCAGAGAGGGCGCGATGGCAGCTTCGAATATGCCAAGGAATATTCTCGCTGCCATGGGCGGCAGCCGTACAAGCTGTAGCAACTCCCCTACCAGATGGAAACCAAGCACATACGTTAGCACGAAGACGCCTTTTATGCTCCAATCATGAAAACAACAAAATCATACCACAGCACAACGTTCGCACCCAGCCATTTGGCAACTGGGACCTTTTGCAAAATCATAGCTAGAACAAGCAGTCAGCCAAGCTGGGTTCAGTAATATCTTCATCAGACCAACCGTTGGGTACCTCGGCGATAAGGAGGGAAATAAAGAACCAGGTCGCGGCGTTGGTGAATTCATTGCCTTTCAGTCTCAAGTCCCTGTTTAGACCCATCACAGCTGCATACTGGCCATCTGGTTAGCAAGTTACCCTTGCGAACGAAGCTTCCGGGGGAAGAGGACATTTAGCGCGACTTTGTCAATGAATTGCATGGTATAGCAGCAGAACATTATGGGCACAATTCGCCAGTCCACCTTTCGACGCAGAGCCTTCAACTCGCCTGCGGATGCCCGGTCTTCATTGTGGCTTCTTGACTCTTGCACATACCAATACGCTTGGTCGAGATCTCGACCTCGGGTGGAGTATGAGCCATTGCGTTTTGAGTTCTCATCCGCTTTACTCTCTGTCATCGCCGTCGATCTGTTGGGAGTATCCACGTTGGTAGAGCTGCTGTTGTATTTATGGATGGATGTTGAGGAAAAGGAAGCCGAACAATTCCCACACCGTGAAAAGCGAAACCCAGGCCGACTCCACACTTACTTGGATTACATGAGCGAAGGATTTGGTTCATGCACACGGGACAGCTAGAAGATCAGAAGATCATATGTGAGTTTAAATCCCGCCTTGCTTGGCTGACCAACGAAGACCTTGTCGCCCTACCTACTGTGGTCGGCTGGATCACTTGTACACCTACTTTTGTCCATCAAAGATTATGATAGTGCAGGCTAAGCAGAAAATCAGAAGACTGCTCCTTCTTCCGATTGTCGAAGGAAAATTAATGATCACAATACCAGAGTGTTGCATAATCGGACAGTCATGAGGCAAGGGGATTAACCAAGGAACACGAAGCTGCAAGGCTTACTAACTGTACGTAGTACATGATTGCTAAAGGCTTGCAACTCCTTGGCGTTACCCGTACATTGCTGGCGTCGTCGTGGGGCAAAATTACCGCCTATTTATCGTAGTCCAAATGAGGCATGCCAGCAATGACCCTTCTCATTGCCGTTTGAGGTAGGTTTATTGGGCTGAAGTTTACTCCGCTTCTCATATAATACTTAGCCTCCCCAGCAACCCCTGTTGAAATCATGCCAGAAGTGTGGACCCGAGTGTTGTTTGTAGAATTAAGGATCGTTGATAATGTACCTGCTAGTAGGCAGCAGCAAGGTGGTAGTCCGCCGTACCCAGGATGCCAAGAATTCCATGGACCTTGATGCACCATACAGGGTAAGAGAATAGATGGAGAATAAGAAATTGCAGTATGTGACCCAATAACTACTGGCTTGAGTATGCACTGATAAGATGCAGATGTCCTTACGTTGTAGGAAATACTATAACGTTGGAGATAAAGGAGAGATCAACCCAACATCATCGAGCTGTGAGGGCCGTTATCACCAAGGTCATTGAACCGTTTACCTTTTCTCCTGTAGTTGAAGTTGTGCTGGAGTCCCCAGCCTCAGGCTTAGTGGGCCATATGATTCTGAAGCTATACGACCGACGCTTCGCGACACAACTGCGGGAGGATGAGAAAATTGCCCCTTGGACGTCTCACATAGAGCGGCAATACTGAGACTTTGTCCTGGGCGGCGGTGCAGCGGCCTTTATAATCAAGCTGCGTACTCATGGCAACCTGGTTGAAGAAGGCAAGAATTGGAATGCCGCTCAAAATGAAGCGTATCTCTACAACTACATGCAGGACCTCTATGACGCAGAAACTGAGGTGTACCGGAGGCTGCAAGACATTCAGGGCAGAGACGTTCCACGCCTCATGGGGTGCTTTTAAGTGTCCCAGTCCCCTTCTTCAATCATCTCACCAGACCCAGTTGACAGATATGCCGACTTTCCCGCCATCCTCTTAGAGCTTATCCAAGGCTTTGCTTTAAACGAGCTCGCTGCACATGCCCCAAGGGAAACTTGGCAGTACATCTGCGAAGATGCCATTCGCATTGTCAACGTCATAGGCGATCGAGACATCCGCAATGAGGATGTCAAACCGAGAAATTTTATAGTACGCTGGCAGCCAGGCGAAGGAAAGTTCAAGGCGTTTATGATTGACTTCGCGTTGTGCAAATTCCGCAGGAAGGATCAGGACGAACGGGACTGGAGGGAATGGAAAGCGATACAAGATGAAGAAGGCGCGGTGGGATACGTCATGCAGAGGTATCTGAATGGGGCTTTTGTCTATCGTCGATCAGACAAATACTTGAGGTTGGACGAGGATTTCAAAGCGGAGGAAATCTAATAAGACCGGGAAAGCCGGCAGGATGCCAGAAAAATGTGAGTAGCACTCTATTTGGGATTACAACTTGGTCCAGGTCTTGACTCAAGGGCTATAGGTGTGACAGATAAAACGGAGCTCAAAGGTCTTAGGTTAGGATCATTCCACCACGTTGATCAATAAACTTAAGCTTACATCGATATATGGGAGTCGGGGACGATGGAAGGAATCCGAAGAGCTAGAGGTGTCAGTGATGTATGCAAGCTTAAGAGTATTGGCTAGAAGCGTCCCACATACTGATTGGTACGAATAGTCCTGCATTCAAGTAGAAATCAAAATGCCGCCTAAATGAGGCGTTAATGTTAATTGATGTTGATGTTACAAAGGAGCAGAAGCAGGAGCAGTGCTAAGTATCTGGGGAAGCTTCCTTTTGAATCAGCCTTCCTCCCACCTAAAAACTCAGCAGCAAATTTGTGCAAACTTCGTTGGAGACGTGGTTGTAAGAGCTAAGTAACTACCGGCTCCAGGTCAACTTAGTTCTTCGCGACTGCTGCGGCTTCTTCAAAAGATGTGAGCTCGGGACCTCCAAAGGAGAGGATGACCATTTCTTCCCCCAAGGATAGCCCGTACATTTACTCTGGGGTCACTTCACGTCTCCCTTCTTTCAACCACTGCACTATCTCCAAGATCTCTCCCACCGAATCCTCCCAGCAAGAAGCTACTCGACTCTGCCTCCTCTGCGCATCGATGCTGAAGGGCATCATGAGCTCGACTCCCCCGAGACGCCGTTTCTTCATCTCCTCGACATACGCCCTCGCCATCGACATCACGTCCTGAAGGTAGCAATGGCCGCAAACAAAAGACTTTCGGTCGCAGGAACAGCTGAGCTGCTGGGACAGAACTCGCGGCACATTTTGCTGTGCCGGTGACACGGAGCCGTTGCAGTCCGAGACCTTTGCCCGCGCCGTGTCATGGTAGCACGAGATGCTCGCCGTGGCCGTATGCGAGGATGGACTCGTTTGGTATCCAGCACTTACCTCAGGAGCTCGATCAGCATTAAACCCGGAAATTCGTTCACTAGCATATAGGCTGACAGAAGGTTGGCAGGTTCAGCCTCAAGGCTTTCTAACTCTATGTCGATGATGTGCGACGGAGATTCTGAATTATTACATGTGCTTGAGATCTTTGAATTCCGTGGTGGAAAGTTGGTCACGAAGGCCTAGAGCAAGTAGATATCCTAGCCTTTCGAAGAGTGGATGGCGGTCATGCTGATCAACCGAAGAATTTCTCAGGCGTTGGTGAGTCGGCATTCGAATCCAGAGATCCGATTGGAGAAGGTAGACCTACAACCTAGGCCTCTCAGGTCTTCACCTTTCGTGCGAGGCACCACGATCTGCGCCATGACCTTGTTCCGCTAGACTGCGATGTGCTCTACGAAGAATTATTCCTCTTTGATTGAAAGGACTCTCATTGCTCAGACCCGTTCTGTCTGTCATGGTGAGCCCCGTCAAGGTGACGTTCTCTCAAGTCGGACCGAAGCTTGGCGCCAAAATTTATGGCTCTGGGGCCGAAGCTTGGCGCCAAAATTTATGGCACTTCTCAGATTCCTGCTATGCTACACGGCTATTTAATAGGGGATAGGGCGCCCATTTCGCTCGTTTAGGGCAGCTACTCTATCTGGCATTGTTGAGATAGCCCTATTAATCTCATCGATAGAGATTTTATCCCATTCCTCTTGGATAGCCCTGCGCAGAATGGCTTCTTCGAAGATGACCCCCCTGGACTTCAAACGCTGCTTTATTATCCTCCAGATAGTCTCAATGGGATTAAGATCTGGCGAATTCGGAGGATTGATTTCCCATTGGATACCAAGAAGGGCTTTGAGAGCTTTGACCTTATTAAATCGCTTGCCTTTGGTTCCATGAGGCCCATCATTATCTTCGACCAAAACGCAATTCTTATCCCATTCAGGGGCAACGATTTCTTGAAGAATAACCTTATAATCATCCTGAATAAGGCGCCCTCCTACTCCAGAGCCTGTATAGAAGTGGAGCTGACCCTTGAAATTCCATCTGATAACAGCGTACATATAAACTGATTGATTTTGACGCTTGAGCTTGAATTGGGTCTTTGATAGGGCATTTCGTGCTTCAAGCCCTGGTCGACGATGAATTCGAGCCTGTCGTTGCAAGCAAGTGGCAAAATGAGACTTATCACACTATCTATACTTTAGAAATTGATCTAATTGCTAATACCGACGTTCAAATCCCTATATAATTCAGGCATTAATATGTGCTTGTAAGAGCATTTTTTTCTGCGCAGCCATATAGGTCCCTACGCCAAAAGCCTTTATATTTCGTTGAATTACACGTTCAGAGCCATTTTCTATACCAATTGTCTTTGCCACCTTAAAGTGACTTGACGAAGCAAAGCCAAAATTTGCGTCTTCAACAGCTTCAATTGCTTCGCACTCATATAGAGCAAGTATCTTTTTGCGACCTCGATTATGGACTTTTTCGCTGCGGCGCGCAGTTCCTTCTTTAAGGATTCGAAAGCCAGTTCGTCTGGCTACATTGTGTATCTTAAATAGCTCTGTACGAGGCAATTTGCCAGCTGTGTGGCGTGCGTCAGCAAGAAGGCGCGCACAGCGCGGCGTATCGAGCATCGTTTTTGGCGTTCGCAAAGGTGCAGGAGAAGGAGGATCTATCGAATAAGACTTTCGACAGACTCTTCGTCTGTTTCCTCGTTCAGAATCCATTGTTCCCTTAATTTGAGTGAGTATTGGTAGAGAAATAGGGGAATGAAGAAGGGGGGGAGAGGAAGGGGATGTGAGAAGTCTCATAAATTTTGGCGCCAAGCTTCGGACCCTACACGGGACATTGCAATTGGTTTGATCGAGGTGTCACCGCATTAAGCGCCCTCAGGGTTCTGTGTGTCGACATCTCCAGTGTCCATCGCGACTTCAGGCTGCCCCCGCTCCTCTTGACTGCCAGCGCCTGCGGCCAGGAGAGGTGGGCTGCCAGGTCTGCCTTCGCGAAATGGCCGCAATCCTGCTGTTATCTAGCGGCTCCGAAATCACCAACCAAAGCCAGCTCGTCCTCTTCGCCAGCTTAGCGCTAGGGTAGGCACTAGTAGGGTCCCTTGGTCGCTGATGTGTTCCCTGGCCATCCGTACGGACGCTCCTACATACGACACTCTCGCTATGAGCTCTGGATGGAGTGGACAAGGTCAGCTTTTCATACTGATGAAAAGCAAACCTTTGCTACCAGCAATTTGTTCCTGAAAGGGATCCATCATTCGACTGCGCTACAGGAGAAGGTTCCTCCATGTTCAGCCGGTCCAGGTTGAAAACGCTTCATACAGCTGATTACCTGGTATAGGTAGAGCGTGCAACCTACCACTTATGTTTTGGTACGAGTGGTACGTATCGTACTTTGAGAACACAGCGCGCCATTCGCTCAAGTTTCGTTCTTCACATTCATTTCTTAACAGTGGGCACTCTATGGCACTAAGAAATGCTATGCCCGATCCTGACCATGGAAGAGAACCTGAAGCCAAAAGTCCTCCAAACATGGTGTTGATTGAGGCGGATCTTTAGAGGAGGTTCTCATCTGCGGGATAAACGAATCTGCATATTCCTGCAGCCACTACCCCATTTGCCTCTGGAACAGAGTTTTGTGCATAATTGTGTCGGTTGACAGGGTCATTGTTCTCACAGGACTAATCAAAAGACACCGAAAGCTGAGTGACATTGACCTTACACGAAGTGGCCAAGCGACCTTCTGTGCCACCTGAGTTCCTGTCACCTTCACGCCAAGAATAGGAAAAGGACGGTTTATCATGATCGCTGCCTCATTCTTGAAATGATTGGTTCACATGTCACAGAAGTCTGAAAGGTGGTGTTTCCTCTTTTAGGTTCGAAGACGCTTTGATGAGCCAAGGAAACATCCTATTTAAGATGGACTGTTGCCAGCAGGTTAGACAAAGTCGGGTTGCGTTGAACCGCTTGTTACAAGTTACGTGGTGATGGTTAATCATTGTGGAACGCAGCTACAATGGTATGACAAAGTACAACTTTCTAGCTAACTAGATTCTGAAGCAGATCTCTTTAGCTGAACTTGTCTAAAAGCGTTTCCGCAACACAAACGAACAAAACTGAAATGGTCTAGGCCCCCATCTACCCTGGTGCCTAGAAGTTGTGGCAGAGTTGTGGCAGTTATCTCCATCACCTTTATTGGTAAGTCTTCTTAGAGTTAACTCTTCCTGTTGACATTATGTTTGCTAATATATCTAATCTTAGATTTCCTCTTCTGATAGTAGCGCGCTAACTAATTTTTGCCTTCTAGGGAAACAAGGCCACCGTAAAAGACTATATCGATGACATTAAAGAGGGAAATTTAGGATGCTATTAGGACCCGGCGGGCAGGTGGCACCGAGCCCATGGAGATGGCAAATCGGGGAGTGAAGGCAAATTCTTCACTGAAACTATGAAAACTTCGGGTTCAACTCCCACATATCGCGTGAGAGTCATGCAGGGCAAATGGGTTGCGCTTGGCCCATTCGACATGCCCGGTAACGAACAGCCAAGCGATAATGAGGTGGTTGCGGAGCTGAAGAGCCAGGTCTAGAAAGCCTGTGAACAAGCTTCGGAGACTGCGAAAACAGGCTTAAGGTTTAGTAGTTTTTAGCGTTTCAGGCAACAACCAAAAACGTCCCAGGTTTGGGACTGATCGAACTACTTTGCCTATTCGCAAGACGGGTTGTACACAGTCATCACCGCACAGATAGAAGAAACAATGGAAGCCCAACATTCTCCGGAAATTTTGAACTATAAGTAATAGAGGATAGAAAATAAAACCCAATAATTTAAAGGGCACAAAACTAGGTTCTCTGAGCTAAGAGAGGGGCTCTAATTCTGGGACCCTACAGAGAGCTCAGGATAGAATTCAGTCAAAACTCAGGGCTGCTTAAGACTGCTCAGGGCTGCTCAGGCTCAGAACAGTCTTGCACAGCCACAGCTCAGAGCTGCTTATTCATCGCTCAGGTTACAGTCACGTGTGCTCAGGTCTCAAAGTGGAAATGGACTTTGGAGAGGTCAAGATTCGGGTGTGGATGTTGTAGCATCTTGTTAGATGGCTGTGAAAGGAAAAATGCAACCAGGCTGGTTAAACTCCGTATGGGTAGTTGCCAAAAGTCGATGGCGCGAGCCAAGTGATACAGGCTTGAGGCTATGCATGGCCTTTTACGATTTTTACCTTGTTAAAATATTGCGATTGACTTGGTCCTTCTTGTTGGAATTGGCCGTATGCGTACAGCCAAATCCTTGGCGTTGCGCGCGTCACGTGACTTATGCACGTGCCACTTTGCATACTGGTAGTATTAGCCTTCTCCTCCTGAGGTAGATTCTGCAGGTAGATGGAATTCAGTTCATCCACTTCATCACTTCTGGTAGAAATACCAACTTCTAGTAGAAATACCAACTTCTAGTAGAAATACCAACTTCTAGCCAGTATTAGAGTTTGCCTACAGCAGGATTACCGTTCAGCCTATGGCAGTTGAATGAACGACGTTGAAATTGGGGCAGAATCCTACAGAATTACGGCATCATTGGCTAATGAAATGTAAGGACTCTGCGCCACAAAGCAAAAAGATGATCCGCCTATCACTTGTGGCGTTTGCCAGTAATTATGTAGTACCTAACGCCGCAACAAACCAGCCGCAACAACCAGCCAACATGCACCTTAAGCGGGTCGTCGTGTGATTTTCCTCTTCCTGTAAGTTGACGCCAAGATATTGATTATGTAAGGCAACCGAGGACTTTTTGAATAGCTCCCGGTGTACGGTGTACGGCTGATGCCAGGACAAAGGTGGTTTGATTGCGGTACTGTCTGTTATCACTTAGCCACCTCGATACCATTGGCGACAGTATCGCAGAATGCTCATTCAGTTGACAGTCGGCAAGGTTGATGCAGGTGTTGCAGTCCTTCTAACCGAAGACAAACGTCTGGTAAGCTCTCAATACCAGCGTGATCACTTAGCAAGGCCATACACTGTGAAAGCTAGATCGCGGAATGAATCTAGCTAACTGCAATTTAGATAGAGTTCCCATCTATTCTCCTACCCTCTTCGATCACGTCTGGCTCCATAGTCGACATTGCCGTTTCTCAAAATTATGATGCCGAGCGGAAATCCCAAGCCGCATTCGCTGACCTCCAATCACGTATTCTAAACACCTACGGCATACACTCACCGTCCCCTCCTACCATTCGCCTAAGAGGCGCTACCCAAACTTCACTGGTCCTCGAATGGGACCCCATACAACTAGCCACATCCAACCTGAAATCCCTCTCCCTCTACCGAAATGGCAGCAAAGCAGGAAGCATCCCAAGACCCAAGGAGATGCTGAGCACAAAGATCAGTGGTCTGGCAGTGGACACGGAGTACTCTTTCCATCTGGTTCTTAGGACAACGGGAGGAACTTATTCTAGTCCTGTCCTGACCTGTCGAACGCACAAGATGACAGATCTATCCGGTATCACTGTGACGCCGGGATTGCTGCCAGAGCAGTTGCGTGCAAGCTTAGAGATTGCCGTGGAGAGGATAGGCGGCAGGATCGCCGACAGCGTTCGAATAGATACAACGCATTTCGTGTGTACGGAAGGGAGGGGCAAGGATTGGGAGAGAGCTGTTGAGATGAACATCCCAGTGGTGCGACCGGAATGGGTAGAGGGATGTGAACGAGAAGGAAGGATCGTGGGCGTAAGAGGTTATTATTTAGACGCCAATCCGAAGCAAAGACATGTCGGGCAGAACCCTTCCCTGAGTGGTACTACAGCTGCCTCGTTGAATGTGGCTGTGAGTGCAAAGGATAGTCAGGCATATCTGCCTGAAAGACGTGTGCCACACCCATCAGATCCAAGAAGTCCGGATCGCGAAAATCATACTTCTGGCGAAGGGGATGGACCGGGTCCCGAGGTGCCTCCTAGTCCTCCTCCGAAGAACGAGAAGTCCAGAAACTCTGCATCGGCGGAAGAAGAAGCAACATCCGTGAGTCCTGCAGCAGATTCAGCTGGTGAAGGCGAAGAGAGGGAGGAGGTTTCAGACGAGGAGAGCAATGACGCACCGCCCGCGCAGGACACCAGCTCACCATGGAATCAAGCTAGGCGTTCCGAGGCAAGCATGAAAGCCAAAGTGGAGAACGCAGAGGACGGCGAGGACGAAGACGCTGGTCAAAGTGAGATGGAGAACGTGCCATTATAGAATAATTTCTACTGGAACAAAAGAATATTTGTTCTTGATGCATCGGTCCATTTGTTATTCACGCAGATGGGTCAGATGTTCGTTGCTATGCCACTAATCATCCCACCCTCGAGACGCATGGTAGAGAGACACCGCATATCGTTGTCCTGTTTACACTCGTAACAAGCTGTAACCAACTATTGCAACCATTGTGAGATTCCATTGACGAATAACTGACAAAGTGCTCGTGTCCAACTGGCCAGCTATTCAAGCCGTCTCCAAGTATTCCCATTACCCATTATCCATTCAGGCAATGGGCATATGGGCCACTTCCCCTTTCAGGCGAAGGCACATCATCATATCAGAACATCAATTGAAAGGTTTTCAATGCCCACTCCGACGCGTGCGATTACCTCCATTCAAAGGGCTTGATGTTCTATTTGCTGGGGGAAAGAGGTCGAGAAAGATGGCGCACAAGAATCATACATCAAGTCATGCAATTTCCAACTCAATTCTACCAAACCTGCGCCAGGAAACTTTCTCAAGGTAGAAGATGGCGCATAATATGTGCTTGGAGGTGTACCCAGGGACGCTTTGTAAATGAAATAAAGTGCGAAATGTAGAGGAGAAGAACATCTCAGCCCTGTTGAGTCGTTGATGTTTGCTTGACTGATGGTCGTCCTCAGTCAAATTCTGCGTGGGTCTCACGGATCGAGGCGTCTGGAGATAAGTAAAGAATTGTGGTGATGGAAGTCTTGCGAGGATGACTTAACAGGGTGTATGTAGCAGGCTGGCTGCGCTCAGTGAGTTTATGACCACTGAATGACCATTGAAGTGGCAAAAGTATATCAACTGCTCAGGTCGAATTCGTACCACGCCTCAACAGCATCACATTGGTAAAATTTATGATGGTTATCCGCGACCTTCTTCATGGAGATACTCGTAAAATCTGTAGCTGCATGTCTCAGATCGGATCAACATTTTGCCGCCGAGATCTGAAACATACCCGGGGACCGACGTCAGCCTTGTCTATCTGTTGGGCTTCGCCATTGACTTATGCTTCAATGTGCAACGTCAGAGCATCGTCCTCGACGAGATGGCTTCTATCTGAGCACCTGATCGTTCTCATCGTGCTTCACAGCCATCGAAGCCCAGGAAGGAAGCCAGCGTGAATGCCGTGTCGTGTCGACTTTCCTCATCCTTCTTCTTTCCTCTTGCATCTTTCATGGTTGGAAATGGCTGTATTGAAGTAGCAAAACAACTCTGGCCATCAAATAGAACCATGCGCAGCGTGCGTATGGTTTTGATCAGGACGCTCGTCCTCTGGTGCTTCATTCTCTAGTCTTCCGTTTGGTCTTGGACTCCTTGTCTCCTTGTATACCAAAGTTTCAATCTTTGAGTATTCGACGCTGTAGCACTTTTTGAGCATTGAAAAACCTCGTTCAGGACCAGATGATCGCATGCACATTTCGTGAATCACCGGGACCTTTTGCGTCTGTCCTGAGAGTGACTCCACTATGACTGAATAGCCAGGTTCTCCGTCTATTTCTTATAGTGTCCTTTTCTGTTGCAAGTTGCAGGTGCTCAAGATTGGTACAGAAGGAGATTGTATGTCCTTCCCCCATTGAAGACTGTGGCAGATATCCTGTGGCAGCTGCAAGTGTTCAATGAGATTGCACCTCAAAAGATAGTATTTATTATATTATTTCGCAGTTTCTGTCAACACCAAGAACCTCGTCTTCGCTTGTCTGGTCAAACGGCAAACGGGTCGAAGGCGCAAGTGACCGAGCGATACCGCCCTCCCACGAACCGCCTTACACCTGTTCGATCCCCCGTCCAGCCAACATTAATTCGAGTTTCTGATATAACTACTGACATACTGACAACTGACGCATCAAATGGCCAGACTACTGCAGGTCCCTCCAGCTCCGGGCTGGTATGTGTCAGGTAGCTCTCCCTCGACTTCGAGTAATAAAATCCCTTCACAGCTGGGGTTTTCTCTTATCGCCAGGTTTTTTGACTTTTTGACAAACTAAACCTCTACACAGCTGGGATGTTCCTTCTTTGAGGTTATTTTATATCTTATATAATGAGAAGAGGAGACTAGATCTACTCTACTTATAGTTTGTTTTGCCTGAGATCAAGAATGAGTGATGGCTCATGAATTAGACACTATTATGTGTGGGCTCTAGTCAAATATTCTATTACATGCATTCAGGAAAGCATGAGTGGGATCATTCATCAAACAGTTGAAAACGGGTGCACGATTCCTCTACAGACATCACCTCATAATCCGGGATACTCCTTAGTCAATTTCTCTAGGGTGGTCGAGAATGCATCGGTGATAGTAGATATCGAAGACATTTGCACATTATCTCCAGTCTCTATCTCTCCTGTTGACGAAATCTGACATTGATTCTTGCTCTGTTTGCAAACGGAGCCTTCACTTTTCGGCCAAGCATCACTCATGCCCAGGTAACTGGTCTTTCCCACGCAGTTCCGTTCAGCTTTCAGGAATCCAGCCGCCTCCATGGCCCCATCAGCAAGCACAAATCCATTAACTCATCGCCTGCTGAGTATCCAACGCACGCCGGCCCGACCCGAGATGGTCTTTAGGACAGTTGGCAGCATCCTCGGCACGCCTCTGCCCTCCCAACCAGAATTAGAATACCTCGACATCGTCTCTCCGCAGCAGTGCAACGCAGATACACGCGCGGCAATAGAGCACCTACTCCTAAACTGCATGCCACAATCGAGATGGGTCTCCGTCCCGACCGGAAAGCTGCAGAAACCCGGTCGAACCAACTCCTATCGAAGGGCATGGACAAGGGTCCGAAAGCGAGAAATCGGCTGTGATGAGAATATTCTGATCATGGTAGAGCGAGAGATGTTGGGCTCGGTTGATGTTGCGTCGGAAAGGCCCTTCTCGGAATTGGAAGTGGAGGAGAGCCTGCGCCGGACGGCGGGGACACCGTGGTGGATGAGATCCCAGACTCCGAGGCAGACGGTGTGGAAAACGTCCTTCAGTCAGAGATGATGCCGGTAGCAGGCTCTTATGGAGGTGAGTACAACTAGCGTTTGCAGCTGTTCTCGAACATCAACGTCTGAGGTAGAATCCCATTGGAGTTGATTTGTATTCGACTTCTGCCCCATGGGAATGAGGAAGTGGGCATGCCCGTTGCCGTCACTCGTGTTGCTGCTGAAACATCACTCTCACTACTCATCCCTCATTGGATCTTCTCTTAGCACTTCGTGCCTGCATAGCGTGCCTGTACGTGTGTCTAATGAGACTCCTCTGCATTGTCACGGCCCTATACTTGTCGACCTTTGCAATACGCTACTGTCATGTCCACACACAAACATGTCCCTGTCCGCATCCCTACTGACTATGTTTTGTCTGGGCATTTGCCTTCCTCTCAAGCTCCATAATATCACGGCATCCAGCTGTTTCCCTCGGCCAAAGAAGCGTTCTTAGAGCGACTGAACCATTTCCAGTGATGGGGAATAATGGTTACAAAGGACTAGATGATGAAGGGTTTTTATCCCCTGTCGATGATTCAATTTCTCTGGAGCTCTAAGACCTACTATTCTAGATTAGAAAATTAGAGCACATCCTACCGCATCGTATTCATGCGAGCTGAAAGTGTCGAGTCGAAAGAGATCGTCCAAGGGCGATGATCCTGCCTTCAGATGACTACATGGCTGTTAGATTTGAAAACGACATACCTCTGCTCCGATCACACTACAACAGATCCCCAAGTACAGCCTCAGCACCTCGCTAAAGCTCAGTTCTCTAAATCTCAAGATAACCCATCCGTAGCATATATCCAAGAAAACCGCTCCGCTCAAGATGAGCTAACCAATCCTGTTCCTGATCATACAAAACTCCCCGCCCTCCTCAGCCTAGCCTCTGCCTCACTCCCCTTCCTGATCGTCGCATCACTGCCCCTCTCCCTCAGTGTAGCCGTCCTGTTCAACCCGGCCCCCTGCCCCCTGCCCATATCTTCGTACTTGGCCCACGCATCCGAGTACGTCTCTGGGAGGAGACTCCCTCCTCCCTCTTTGCCTTGGGGTGGCTGGATGGTGAGATGATGATGTTTTGTTTTGCCCCTGGAGGAGGAAGAGGTGGTGGTGGCTTTTGAAGAGGATACTGAATGGGCACGAGACGAGAGGGAGAGGAAGGCGCCGATTGCGGTGTCGGGGCCGTGGGTGGACATCAAGTCTGCGGTTTGTGAGGCAGTCAGGGTCCTGACTGGGGACTGAGAAGCTGCGTCGGTAGAATGTGCTTGTTCTTCTTCTTCTTCGTCTTCGGAGGTTTGGGGATATGGTGCGCTGACGGATTGGTGAGATGAGCAGATGCAGCCGCAGCCTGTTGGGCAAGAATTTTCGACGCCGGCTTCTGGGAGGTCAGGATTGACTTCGTCGGTCGTGTTGATATTAATACTGTCTCTGGCGAGCCATTTGCGGTGACATTCGAAGCAGGTGACATGACCGCAGCTCAAGCAGGGGACCATTAGCCCAACTATCGACTTTGTGCAGATTGCACACATTGTTCTGGTCGAACTCCTATTTCCCGCAAGATTACACGAGGGACAGTGCCACCCAATGGGGATTCCGTTCTTTTCGATTGCTTCTAGTATGCCGCCACATCGGTTGCATGGCCTTCCAATCTCTAGGCCTCGTTTCTGCTTGGAATCATTCCTGGTCACGTCGAGCGTCTTCCGTGGGAGAAGACTGCTTAGAGTCAGTTCATTCTCATCGACGGAGCGATCGGCCGTAGCGCCTCTGAATTTGGGGGTGAAGGAGCCTAGCAGGTTATCAAATTTCAATATTTCCGCTCGCTGAGTGTGCAGCTCCCAGACACCAAGAAGCCTAGCATAGCTGGATCTATAAGCCCTGTATTTCCATTCAAAGCTCGGATCAAGCAGTGGTACGCTTGCATAACCATCATTGTCGAACATGTTCTGGTTGTGCAGCGCCGACTTGATCTTCAGCTTCCGTTTTGTACCCTTGCGGGTTGTCAATTTGAGAGGCTTCCCAATGTTGCTACCGGATTTGAGAGTGGTAAGCAGGCTACTGTCAGCACCAACATGCTCTATTGCATCCCCGTCCGAAGACATGGATCGCGATTGTCCGGTCGATGACGACGAATGCATAAGGCGGGCTGAACTCCGTCTAGGACGCGCTGTCGTGGCCGCTAGGTCCGGCTTGTTTCTTGCGGAGCCTGTTCCCCCAAATATAGAAGCGCTCCGTCCACCTGCATGCACGTGTTGTCCCATTAGACTGCCAACCGGGCTCGGTCTCTTGATTCCACCGCTTCCGCCGCTAGTTTTAGGAGGCGACTGCGAAAACGAGGGTGCAAATGCGGATAGACTAGCTCGAGAGAGCGGAAAGGGATGGTTGGAGTTGGCGCGATGTGTAGAGCGCATCTCCTCAGGCGAGGTAGAAAGTGAAGCAGTCGCTGATTGGGCTGTCGAAGAGGAGTGGCGAGCAATTTGATCTCGGACATCCGTACTTGGGAAGCGTGAAGAGCGACGTCCGTCAATCAGCTGAGGAGGAAGATGTTGTGCAAACTGAGGTGGGGTCGTGCCTGTAGAATAGGGAGTTAGAGGATTGCTAGGGCTAGCTTTGTCAATCAGGGTTGCAAGATGCACATCTTGAGGTTTGGTAGATGTGTTCGCCGACGTAACCAAGGTGATGGAAGCTCTGTCTCTGGTTGATTTTGCCACTTCAATAGAAGGATGATAGTCAACCGAGAATGCAGGAGCCTTTTGTTGCATGAGCGAATGTTGGTGACGCTGCTGCGATAGAGCCGCTAACGAACTTGAGACTCGTGGTTCAGCAAAAATACAAGACAGCATGGCAAGCATTTGTATATCTCCCAGTCCTTCGAAATAGCGCACCAATGCAGGCACCAAGAACCTTCCTCCAAGCGCACTTTCACCCCAGCGAACCCGAGCTGACGCGGTGATTGGTGATCTTTCCATCGCTGTATCGTAGCTCAGATCCACGCCGCTGTCGTCTCCTTTTGGAATACTTGCGACGGAACGCGCTATAGCAAGAATATCTGACGACCCATCAATACTCGAACTGCTTGCTAGCGGCACTTCATTCCATAAGATCAGCCTCATCAAATGCCATACATGAGCAATATCGTGGAGGCCGTGCCGCGTGGCCACGTCGGCATTGTAGCCACACACATCTGGGCCTTTACCAAAGACAATGTACTCCGTAGCCAGCTTCCTTCTGGACGGAAGGAGCTCGCTCAGGTCATGTAGTGAGACAACATTACTCGGCGACTCAGCACCAAGCTGGACTTGTGATGAACCAAGGGCAGATTGATTAGAATGGTCTGTGGACCTCGATCGCTGAAGGGATTTGCCTCCAGCTTGCCAAGCATCACGGATGAAGGAATGGTTTGGTAAAGAGCCCGGGCTGTCGGACGACCCGGAAGAAGAGGAAGAGAAGAACGAAGAGTCATCGGAATGTTCAGAGATTCGATCCTCACCAGAAATCACTGTTCTGGGCACCGTCCTTGCTCCAGGTGGGTCTTTTTGCAGCCTTCCAAAGCCTTCAAAAATCTTGCCGCTTTCATCACCGTCGTTGTGTCGGCTTGCCAGCGCTTCTAGGAAGGAAGTTGGCTGTTTTGGCTGTGAGGGAAAAAAGCATACCAGTTTGCCGTTGTCAGCCCAGAGTGCTCCACAATATTTCGCCACAGGCACCAGTACATTGGCGTTCAGGAGCTCTGATGACTCGTTTATTGGTCCAGATGCGCCTTGGAAAGTGGGTCCCCCTAAATCGTCTTCGTCACTAGAGACCTCCTGCTCGAGTACAACATCTTCAAAAATCTTGGAATTCTCGACGGACTCATCTAGGATCCATGAGACAATGGATTCCATGTCCTGCTCTCGAAGCAGATAGCGAAGCACTGCCTCAAGGCAACCCCTCTTCCTTGCAACATACGTCTCTGCGATTGTGCGCAGTTCGGTGGATAGCCGTGCGGCCAAGTCATCAGTCATGCCAGATGTTTTCTGGACATTGAAGATAGCTGCAGCTTCGTGTGGATAAGCATGTGGAAATTTGATATCAAACTTCATGAACATTGGTGCACTAGATGGTCCCCAAGGAGCATGCAATGAGATAACAGCTTTCCTTTGGGCCATCTCCACTGACTCAAATACCACTTTAGCAAATTTCTCCCCTACCTGAGTGATCTCTTCGCCTAAGGTTTCGGGATTCCAAGATCTGATCTTCACATTCTTCATCCAGTCGATAGGGTTTAAGATTTGGCGACCACTCGTTCTCCCGTGCATACCGACCCTAGCAGCCAGATGACTGCCATGCAGCCAGCCTTGAGAAAGGGGTATTGCTACCTTACTCATGCCAACACTTGTGCTTCCTCGAGGTCGAGGATGAAAAGACTGGCCAGTTGCAGGAGAAGACCCAACTTGTGAATCGAAGACTTCGTCGAAAAGCTCATCTGATGGTTCATCCCGGAAGGTCCTATACTTGGCACCCCTCCGTGTGAAGTTCAGTCTCGAATTTTGGGTAACTCCTTTCTGATAGCCTATAGCCGCCATCGTCTCAGGGACCACACGATGTAGTCGTAGCTCTTGATCGGTACCCCAGGTCACCAGTTGAAACTCACGGTGATCAACGCCTTCTATGATGGTGCCTCTTGGCCTCCATAGGAACTCCTTGACCTGACCTTTATGACCTTCGAACCGTGCCACCGGTGGTACTGTGCCACTCAAGTGCTGCTCCTTTACTCGACGGCGGTCGTACAAATGGATGTCCCCGTTGCCCCGTTGAGGCATTGCCAATAGACCGCATCCGAAAGGAGTGTGCCTTGCTCTCCAGGCAGGAAAGGGGGTATTTATGATCCGCTCTGGGACATTCTCCAGAACATTGATATCCCAGAATTTGATAGACTTGTCGAGCGAGCATGTCACGATGCGATTTTGCTCATGTCTGTTCCAGTCGATTCCATAAATTTTGGTATCGTGGGCTTCGATTGATCTGACAGGATATGCTCCCATGCGCTCATCCCAGATACGGAGATACTTGTCGTGTGAGCTCGCAATGACATGAGAAACCTGCCTGCTCCATTTTACCTGCGTAGCCCCAGCGAACCAGTCCGAAAAGGAGATTACAGGACGAGCAGGCACTCTCAAGTCCCAACAATGTACGAAGCTATCTACCGCACATGTGGCAAGAACATCAGGATGCTGTGCTGAAAAGTTGATGTCTGTAATGGCGCGCGTGTGGCCGTGTAAGACGAACTCCACCGCGTCCTGCCGGGCCTTGATGCCAAGATTCCAAACAAGTGCTTTTTGATTAGAAGTGCTGATTACCCAAAAATCACGAGCTGCGAATGGCGACCATTGAACATCGGCTACTTCCCATGATGTACGATGCGGTAGGTACCGAGGGGGAGAGTAAGGAGAGTCGAGGTCTATAACATGTAATCCTTCCTTTCTATCGAGTGGTGAGTAGGAAGGCCACCGTTCAGCGTTTTTGACTTACGATGCTAGGACCACATCTCGACCGCATGGGGAGATTGACATCGAACCTACAGGCTGTTTGATGTGGAAGGAGAGATCCTCGCCGAAGGTCTTGCTTTCGAACGCAGAACTGGGGCCACGTGAATTCATGGCTCCGACGTGGGGCGATAAATGATTCTTTGCTCCTCAAGCAGCGAACGGGATGACCTCTATCTCAGATCGACGACACTGAACCTCTCCTCTCACTGTTGGCCAGCTTGGCCTCGATGGTTTTGTAGGATTAGAAATCCATATAGCGTGGTAGCTTCGACCATCAAGGCAAGAGACCCTTCTTGCCATGACAAGTGCTTGTTCTCCAGCTCGTGACACCGATCAAATTCTCGATCGAGGTTAGATGGATCAATCTTCATGTCAACGCGGCGAGGACTGATCTAGGGTGGACAGATGACTAGAAGCAGATGATTTAAGAAGTGCTGTATTGAACTACTATTACTAACTAGTGGATTATTAAAGAGACAATGATGCCAAGAATATTTATAATCTCTTCTTGGCTTTCTCAAACGTCTGCCCGCAAAGTCACAAAGCGCTGAAGCCCTACAAACAGACTTCATCCTCAGCAATCAGCAAACTTGGGAAATTATTCATTCACACAACGAACCTACTACTTTGCTCTTGGCCCCAGTTGTCTCTGTCCCGATCTGAAGAAGCCTATTTCGTATCAACCAATTCAGACACTTCCTCTATTGCTAGTATACTACTCATTTCATACCAAGCTCTTTGTTGGCTTTCCTTGCCCGTCCCTGTGCTGAACACCAGACCACCAGCAAGCATTTGACGATATCTTTGCCATAGCCAGGTCATCTTCGGCCTCGTCACCCTCCAACTCAATCTTGAAGAGACTGTCTTCCATTGCTGCAGCTTGAAACGATAGTCGCTTCAATGGCTGCTCTACCAAAGAGGATAGTGAAAGAGACGGAGCGCCTCATGGCAGAACCGTAAGCATGACAGATTGTTCCCAGGGTTCAATGGACATTTTTGACATGTCTTTTTATAGGGTGCCAGGGATCAATGCCGTTCCACATGAAGACAACTTGCGGTATTTTGATGTGACTATCCATGGACCCTCACAGTCCCCTTACGAGGGTAGACATTTCCGAAAGCCGTAACCTACTTCTCCTTACGACTGACCTTTTTCAGGAGGCATATTCAGGCTTGAACTCTTCCTCCCTGACGACTATCCGATGACTCCTCCTAAAATCCGCTTCCTGACAAAGATATACCACCCGAACATTGACAAGTTGGGAAGAATCTGCCTGGATGTTCTCAAGAGTACATTACATGCCCCAGAAATCTCTGTCAATACGCTAATATGAGCAGGTAACTGGTCTCCAGCTCTTCAGATCCGAACCATTCTATTATCAATACAAGCCCTCTTGGGAGCGCCAAACCCAGATGACCCACTAGCTAATGACGTTGCCCAACGATGGAAAGAGGATGAGCAAGCAGCAATACAAACAGCACGAGAATGGACCCGGACGCATGCGGGAACGTGATAAGCAGGGACTCTTTAACGATAAATAACCTATTATGATCGATTCTCCACCGGAGCCAAACTGAGTTCGGTCGATCACTTCTAGATTTTGGGACTCTGAGATGTATTGGTCCTGAAGCTGAATGCATATCTTGTTGCGGCATTTCAGCAATCAACACTAAGCAGAGTACAAGTACCCCCCTTGCAGCACTTTCCATTGCTCGACTGTGGCAAACCTGCTGCGCGATCCTCCAACGCTGGCTCCATTTGAGCTGCTCATTCTTTTTGCAACATTAACCTTCTAGATACCTGCTCAACTCCAGGATGAGGTGTCGTCGTGCCAACAACCAGAACAGGATCAGCGCCTACTCTTAATGCTACCAGTTGAACTGAAGGGAGATATTTCTGCTCTGTCTGACAACACGTGCATTACAGCTTCAATGTGCTTGGAGGACAGTGTATGTGCACACTAGCAATAAAGGCTCTTATCAAGATGTGATTTACTCAACCAAGCATTTTTTCCCACCCTTCTCGGCTCTTTGCAGGCATTGTGACTTGAGCAGAATCAATCATCCACCAACAGCCTTCCTCTTAGTCACTGTCATATCCTAAAGCCCCATGATTCCATTACTGACATGACAAAGCCTCCGCCAGCTACAGCGCTTCTACTGACTCCAATCTTATATTCTGTGCATGGTTCTTGAGAAGTATTCAACCTTGTTCTAGTGCCTGCTTGCCTTACAACTAGCATTACGTGCACGAGGACCGCCTGTTCCAAAATGGAAGCGAAACCAGCGAATTGTGAAAATGCAGATGCCCAAACTGCGGTCTCACTTGCCAAGCCAACATCCTTATCACAACCTTCGACCTCAGACAGTCGCACCTTCTCTAACGGTTCTGAAATCTTACTGCTTCCACTAGCCGGACAGATCGGTGAGTATCGCTCTTTTCGTGGGAGACGGGGCTCCATATCTGCAGACAATGATTGGAGTCACAATCCATTCAATGCACTAGATTCACTCCTCTTGGAGATGGAGACTGGAACGGAGGCATCAAACATGGAAGCACCTCAAGAGTATCGAAAGTCCATATTCAGTCTATCAGACAAAAGTATGGTACCCAAATCCGTCAAGCTTCGGAAGCTGCCCGATCTGCAGTCAGTCAACCTTCGTGATGACAGTTCAGGCAATCACTCAGATATCAGCGCCCTTGACATGAACGCGTCGCAAATTACGATTAGGCGGCTGGCCTCTACAGGGAACCTTAGTGCTCAACATGAGTATAGGGGATCTTGTGGTTCTGCATATTCTTCATCTATCTACTCTGAACAGTCAGCCGAAAGTGAGGTGGAAAACGAAAACCGAGCAGGCTTCTCCACCCCTGGAAATCAGTCTAGAAATCCGAATGCACAGGAAATATCTAAGGATGACATCCCAGAAGAGCATACAATCCTCCTTAAGGATCACGCATCAAATGCAGAGCACAATTTGCTGACTACAAAACCTTTACGACCCTCTCGTTCAACTAGCGATATTCTCAACAGAGACTCACGCACACTTCAAACCAAGACGTTTCTCCTTGAACATAGCCCAAGCGAATCGATGACGCCCAGTCCGTCTTCCGTACATCGAAGCGGCTTCTCGAAAAGTACTGTGAAGGAAGGTCGGTCGGAAACAGGCTCAGAGGCTTTCAATCTGGAGAGCTCTGATAGTAACTTGGAGTCAAAAAGAGTAAGATCATGTGTCACTTTGCATTATCTCAAGTTTAAAACTTCTACTGCAGGTTGCTCCCCATGCCGTGAATGAGAAGGCCGCAAGACTGCTTGGACTTGGACAAAGACAGGACAGGTAAGCAATATATTCCACATCGATTGAGAATATCTCACCAACAACCATTACTGCAGTCCAAAGTCTCCTGTTACCCCAACTGCTTCACAATTCCCTGCGTCAAGACGCAACAGCAATGAGCGAAGCTGGTCTTCTCCGAGAATCATTAGAAAGATGGTTAGCAAAATATCTCTGACAACCCAGAAGACATCACCTACTTCAGTGCTCTCTCCCACCACATCAAGCATCTCACGTCACGACATCGAAAGCCCCACCAGTCACCTAGAGACTTTATCAATGCGCAAAAGCAGAAGCGTTGTCGACGGAAAAATGGTAGGTGATGCTAGGAGTACATGTTTACAAGAGATAGTAGAAGAGGCATCAAACTCGTCAGCAGATGACATTACCAGCAAATTATTGTTAGCAAGCAACTCTAGCTCGATTTCAAAGCGTCGCGGATTTCGACCTCTCTCAGTCAAGATTGGGGAAGCATTCAGCCCTTTCAGCTCTGGACAAAGCAGAATTGGTCATGTTGACCAAGGTAGGAAAATCGTGAGCTTGGCTGAAGAATATTCCCAAGATAGCTGGAAAGGCCTCGAGCTTTCTGAGAAGGTTAATTGGACTGAGAACCTGGATCCGCACATTTTCAATGCGAATTTCGTTGCTACCTTGACCTCAAAGCGTGAGTACACCTGAACCCTGGATGTGTTCATCTTTTAAGCTAATCAAAATAGCTGCTGCGGATATTAAAGACCACCCAGCCTTTAGAGTGGACCCATTCTCTGTACAGGCTTCCGAGACCACGCTCCAGTTCTCAACTTCATCACAGTTGGCATCGGTGTCCCAGGCTTCATCTGAATCGAAGTCGGTGATATCAGGCCAGACGTCATTGCATAGAAATGGTCAGAACGTGGAAACTGTTCTGATCGGCTTGGATCTGGCAGACCACCAGTCGAGACGCAGTCAGACGACTGTGTCGCCAGAGACAGTCAATGCAGCCAACGTGATCCAGTCACCAGGCAGTAATGCTGCCCCTCATAATTCTCTATCAAGTCCCCCGCAGTCGAAGTCAGAGCAAGCGCTTGGTGCAAATCGACGAGTACTAACGAACAACTCTCCCACTAACGGTATTCGTGGGCTCCGAAACCATGGTGACCTCCCTCCGTCGCCTTCCTTTGCCAGATTCAACAGCAGGTCAATCTCCGAAAAAGTTCCAAAGATGCCCTCACTGTTTGGCAGTGGCTCTTTTTTTGAGGAATCTGGTGAGGGAAAGCGCACTCGGGGCTTTTCGAATTTGTTCAAGCCAAAGTCGACCAGTAAAAATCACGGCAGAGGTGAAAACAAACACCATTAAGCACACAAACACCAGCTAACGTAATCTCAAGGTAATGAAGCTATGGTAAATGAAGAAAGCATGAGAAAGAGCAGTGCAGAACAAGATCGTCTAGAACAGGTACCAGTTGTTTTCCAACCAGTGCCCTGTCCATACTCACACTGGCCAGATTCAAAAATTGCGTGTGAGACTGAATGCACACAGCTACGATCACGACTTGTCAGATATCCAGCCCCGCCATCCTACTACTGGACGAGGATGGTATTCACGTAATTTGAGATGTACATCTTGCTCGGATGTCATGTGTTCTTGCTGCGGACGAGCTTGTTGCTCTTTCCGAGCTTGTATTTTGGCAGCAGAGAACAAAGCCAGCTCAACTGATGCAAGGAAAGCAGCACGTGATGACGTGGCTGCTATAGTGTGGTGTTTTGCGGTTGGCAGAGAAAGTCCAACATTCATCCAGTGCACGCACCAAACTGGTTGTGGCAAATACGTTTGTCCTGATTGTTGTGGCATATGCCCTGATGAGTGTTGTCAAGATGTTCAATGCAGAGTAATTGCTTCACGTCCAAATACGTTTATGTGCTAACGTATAACAGAAATGCAAGAGCCATCCTTGGGCCAAGTGTGATTGGCATCCCGATAGTGATGCAAGATTGAAAGTTGCCAAGTTCCAAATGACTACTTTGCAGCAAACAGCTCTTTGACGTATATGGTCATGCAGAAGAATCCAAATCTTCATCAAAGAAAGGAAAGGGTGCTTCTTAGATGCATCAGAAATGTCCAATCAGTGTACTATGAGACAAGGCCATTGATGATGTCCGTGAGAAGTGGTGACAAGGTCAACAAGGACAGGCAAAGGAGGATATGTGTGCTACAACGATGGCAGAACGAAGAGAACAACATGGTGGTAGAACATCCAGTGGCTAATAGTATGTGGCCATTGCTCTACACTGTGAACTCAGTACATATGGTGGATTAGAGCAGTCAAGCCGGGCTAGTTGTACTTCAAGCAGAACTGAACTGAAGCAAAAGGCGAATGCTTGGCACCGCTCATTAGGGCATAGTCACATGATGTGCACACACTCCCGATTTCATTCTCCGCAGGCCTTTCATCAAGTAAAGGTACATTTGAATGACAGTAATTCAGGGTACCAAGTTCTCACATCGCCATCCTTCAAAATGCGTACCTACGATGACACCTTCAGCGGCACGAAAATATACCCTGGCAAGGTCAGTCCTAGGTCTTTAAATGGTGTCATTCTGGCTTTCGGTGCCATCACAGTCGCCTGTCACAGTTATTCTTGGGTCATAAGCTGATTTGTGGCAATGGTATTTTAGGGCAAGCTCTATGTGCGCGGCGACAGCAAGATCTTCCGGTTTCAGAATGGCAAGACCGAGTCCTTGTTTCTACAGCGCAAAAACCCTCGCAGAATAGCATGGACCACGCTCTATCGAAGAATGCACAAGAAGGGTATCTCTGAGGTCAGTGTGCTATGAAGGTTACGAATACTGCAGAGCATCATGTGCAACACGTCTGCTGCAATTCCGGTAGCAGGAGAAGTGATGCCTATGCTTGTTGAGGAATCCCTATGGAGCCAGGTGCTGATCGTGACGGTATCTTATAGGAAGTCGCAAAGAAACGAACTCGAAGAACGGTCAAGTCACAGCGAGCCATCGTCGGTGCCTCGTTAGACGTCATCAAGGAGCGACGCTCACAGAGACCGGAAGCACGTGCTGCAGCACGCCAAGCTGCCATCAAGGAGGGCAAGGAGAAGAAGTCTGCATATGAGAGCAAGAAGAAGCAGGAGAAGGCAAAGAGTGCGGCTGGCGCGGCGAGAGGGCAGGTCAAGGGTGCGCTCTCAAGCAAGCAACAGGCAAAGGGTGCACCGACCAAGGTGACAGCTAAGACTCGTTGAGCCGAATTAGCAGTGGAGCATAGAGCAACTTTATGAGGATGGATTGAGAGAATGACAAATCACCTACAAATGCACGAATACCGGTTCAAGGGCTAAGAGTGCCGGTGGCATACAGGATGGGTTCCCCTTGCTCTACGAAAGATAAGCCCTACTAGTTCTCATCTGACGAGCTTGCCTCTAATGAAGAACTCTACCTTTCGTTGATTTCTCTTCTCATTTGCCAGTATGCGCAAGTCAACGACGGAAATCTGTTCACGTTGATGAATCAGTCGAACGAGCGGCCTTGTCGTCCCTAATCACGCAAATACTAATCTACCATTCCCCAGCCATAACTTATTCGTTCACGAAGCTTTTCTTGCTAATCTAAGTTTACATGAGGCACAGGCGTAAATCATGCTCATCCAGCATCCTAGACCCCCCCTCCCCTCCCTCTCCTTCCAGCTATAAGCCTCTCTATGATTATTGTACAATCGTCAATTGAGAGTGGAGAGCAATTGCCCTGGCAAGGCGGGTCGAGATGAAGAGATGGTCAAGCCAGCAATGACGGCTGCGTGGGCTACCCACCATCACCCCCTTCTCATGCAGAGTCTGGGATGAACTGGTTCAGTTTCAGTATGGCCAGGTCTTTGCCGCTGATATGCTGTCTACATACATGTTCTTCTGCATTCTGATTATCTAAGTTTCTTTCAGAAGAGTAGAAGTTGATCATCATCTGCGAAAGGGAGGTTTTGTTGAGCCTTCGGGGATATTCCTTTCCTGCTGAGGCTGGTGATTCCGAGAGGGAGAGGGTAATCGGCCTCCGTTTCTATGAATGTATAGAAAGCTGGTTACAAGGTACATGTACGTGTTACAACATTTGGAGATCTATGCATTGATGTTTCAGAGGGGAAGTTGCTATTTTATGTAGCAACTGAACGAGTTGATTTTCCCAAGCTAGCCAAAGGCCACCAACGGTAGTCTGGGTTATCGAAAAAGGTAAACTAACATATTGACGAGCAGACTAGAATGCCTTGTGCAAGTCTCGAAGCTGGAGGATAATATGGTGGAATTGGTGTGAACGGCCATGGATTGATGTAGCATCCAGTCGCAAAGTGAAAGAGCTAGGATAGTCTCGCTCACCAACGCTGTCAGCCTTGCAATTGCATTCTCCGCAGCACATCTTTCCGTCGTGACATCCACATTGGATCCTGCCTTGAGCAAGTCCTCGAATCCCTGTCAATGTTCCCGTCCCAATCCATGTCTACGTAGTACAAGAAGCAACCCTAGAAAAGGGAAACATCAACCACTCCACCAAAAGGACAGCGCTTGTGCGTTTCGAACCACACTTAATTGATGTATCCCGACTGACTACCCTCTCTCCTTGAAATCCTTCTCGTCAGCGCAAATAAATCATTGCCGATGCTTTTCTTCGTTGCAAGGGCAAGCCCCAGTGTGGTGCTTGATCACCTTGTTCCATGGATCAGGGTATTTCGTGTAGCTGCCCTGGACTGCATATTGCAGCCCATTGAACTGCCGATAAGTGATCATCCCAATCACGACGCTCACCAAACAACATAAAAGCTACAAGACTCCCACATCAAGACTGAAGCCGAAAAAGGGGGTTGGAACTGCGGTAGTCTCATTACTACGAACATCGTGTTGCTTAATAATTGCTGGTGTTTGATGACAAAGATTTCCTATTGCCCCCAGCGTTCACAGTAACCAGAGTAAGTTGACTAGTGAAGTGAAGGCTGAAGGGGGCGAATCACGGCTGTTGCATCGGCGCCCATTGATCCGGCGGTTCGATGGGAAATTTGTTCGAGTTGGCGTGAAGATTAGCTCTAACTAATCCGACCGTGGCGTGCTTGGTAATATGAATATGCCCCATATCACCATTGCGGATAGAGCTTTGTTCTCACAAGACGAGTACTACTCTCCTGCAAGATCTTCACATCTCTTTACAGCCAAATCTCCTGACCTATACCGAGTGGTACAGCTCTTTGGCGCGTCGATTGTCATAGCAATACATACGTAGTATAGCAGCGGTCCCACCTCCTGATGCTCCAATCGATGACCCGGCTTCTGGGCCAAGATCATGTAAAAGCATCGATTGATGACCTAGCGTAGATTAGTGGCATACATAGTAAGTCTAGATGGGACTAGAAAGTATATTTCCGTAGTTTAGAAATCATTTGCGCTCCATGTCCACCTGCACGGACCTCTAAATGAAGTTGGTTTGGTAAGCAGAAGTATTGACGTGTAGTACCAGTTCTTATAGGCAGGTATAAAGGGTGGCGGAGGTGCCATTCACTGCGGCGCAGTATTCAACACGTTTCACAGCCACTGCAAGTCAACCTTGATATGCAGCAAACTCCGGTCGCTTGATATCAACATTCCGCAGTTGCACTGTCATTAAATATCGCATTGCGCTCCCGAGAGAATTGTGTCTTTCTTCCGCCCTTACTGGTCTCTCGCAGGATCGAAAGCAAATCTTCTACCATGGGCTCCCTTGACATGTCCTCAGCGAATGCTGTCCATCAAGTCGTAATAATCGGCGCTTCATATGGAGGCATCCCGGTAGCACATGGCCTGCTTAAGGACGTCTTTCCAGCGCTATCAGCCGCACGTAAACAGAAATATAAAGTTGTGCTGATTGCGCCCAATGACCATTTCTATTGGAAGATTGGCGCGCCCCGCCTGATCGTCAACCCAGCGGCACTTCCTCTCGAAAAACTACTTCTCCCCATCGCCGACGGTTTCAAGCAGTACCCCCGAGATCAGTATGAGTTCATTTATGCATATGCAACCTCAATTGATCCGGACAAAAAGACAGTATCCACGTCCACCGATGAGAGTGTCCATTACGATAGCCTTGTGATTGCTTCCGGCACTACCTTTGCAACTCCGGTATGGTCCACCTCCAATGGCTTGGATGCGCTCCGAGCCGACCTCGCAGAACTTCACGAAAAGCTACCAGCAGCTGAGTCAATCCTGGTTGGTGGAGGTGGTGCAGTCGGCACCGAGACTACAGGCGAGCTTGGGGAGACCTTTGGAGGGAAGAAGGAGCTCACGTTGCTGTCCGGATCGACTCAGCTTCTTCCGAGACTCAGCAACAAGAAAGTCGGTAAAGATGCTGAAGCACGCTTGACCAAGCTAGAAGTCAAGGTAATCCATGGTGTGCGAGTCACATCATACAGCAAGACTGCCGAAAACAAAACAGCTGTCAAGTTGAGTGACGGGACAGAAAAGATCGTCAATGTCTACATCGATGCAACCGGCGACCGACCAAACAGCAAGTTTGTTCCAGAGGCATGGCTAGACCCACGTGGTTTTGTCAAGACCGATGGCCGAACCCTGCGCCTTGACGTCCCGGATGTGCAGCATGTGTATTGCATTGGGTCAGTTGGTAGTTACTCGACTGGCAACGTATTTGACACCAAATTTGCCATGAAGGCTTTGCTAGAGAGTATTCGCTTGGATCTGATTGGCAAGCGTGAGACTTCCTCGTCTTCTATCGCCTCCCTCGATCCAACTCCACCTGGGTGGATTGCTTGGCTAACAAGTTGGGTTCCGTTCTACGGATCTACAGAAACCGGCACGAGAAAGGTCTTCTACAAGAAGTTTGAGAGCGATGTGCAATTAATTCCTATTGGGCCCAAGCAAGGTGTGGGTGTTGCTTTTGGCTGGAAAATGCCTAGCTTCGCTGTCGTCATGGCGAAGAGCAAGGATTATATGGTCAGCAACGCGCCGAAGTTGGTGGATGGTACGGAGTGAAGCAAGAAGTGCCAGTTGATTCTTTTGTGGCCACCTAGTAGAATTGTTTTGACACTTAACAATGTTACGGAGCGGGTGGAGAGCGAGCTGGAGACTTAGATGGCTCCGTTTGTAAGCACTGCATGATCTGGTGTTCTGATAGACAGAAGAGAACAGAAATTTAATGACCTTTGCTGACAGAATAGATTGCAGAGTAGCCCATCGAAGTGTTGTATAGTAAGCTCATACGCGCACAGCGTGCGTTAGGCATTGAAGTGAAGAGCTCGCCCGAAATTACCCGCCAGCTGCCAAAGGTCTTGTCCTCAAAAACGGTGCTTCCTCCTCTAATCTGAGCAATCACTTCATATTCCCCTTCCGGAGAAGGATATATTCTGTTTACCGCTGTTCCTTCATTGGTGATTGGTTGCAGAGTCCAGCTGATTGCGTTGATTGCATTGATTGCATTGAAGCAGACAAGAGCAGCCACAGAGGTCCTGCCAAATGATGAAGCCAGCTCCGTCAACCTCGGCGGTTCGACGAGCTACAGCAGTTGCACATGCCTCGTGCTTGAGAAGAGCAACTGCGGCACGACCGACTGCTGCAAGTTACCACAATTCAAGACCGATCCAAATTACTTCGACTCTAGCTCTGTCTTCGCGCTTGACATTGCCCCAATGCATATCAGTCACTACGCACTACATCAGCAGAACCTTTGCATCGACTACGAGAATGGTACGAGAACATTTCGCAATGATCAAACTCCCTGTAGATTCGCTTCATTATGACACAGTCCGGCGGAACATCAGGACACAGTCGACTTCTGGCTCAAGCTGACCAGAGACATCTGCAGGCTGCTTCGACAAGGACAGAAAGCGACGCCTTTGGAGAGATCCAGGTGAGTACATGCAGGGCAGTGTAAAGACAAGAGCAGAGTTAACAGATGGTATAGGTGCCTTCGGACAAGTACTGGGGCGCTCAAACTGAGAGGTGAGAGGTCCGCAGCCGCAGGCTCTACCCGATTAATACTCAGGACAATGCTGTTGTCGTCACAACTGTTCATCATGGCTCATCCAGGTTCTTGACATCAGGTCACTGGAGAACTTCAAGATCAACCAGCCTCAAGATCGGATGCCCCCGGGAGTGATCAGAGCATTTGGTATCTTGAAGGGTGCTGCTGCAACCGTGAACATGAAATATGGGCTTGGTGAGGAGTCTCGTCTCTCAAAGTTCGGACCCGGTTACTGATCTTGAAAGATCCTAAGATCGGAGAAGCAATCCAGCAGGCAGCTGCCGAAGTTGCTTCTCTTAAGCTCATCGATCACTTTCCCCTTGTCGTCTGGCAGACTGGTTCAGGTACACAATCCAACATGAACGCCAACGAGGTCATCTCCAACCGCGCAATCGAGATATTAGGAGGAACAATGGGAACCAAGAAGCCAGTCCATCCAAATGATCACGTCAACATGTCCGCCTCGTCGAATGACTCTTTCCCTACCGTAATGCATATCGCCGCTGTCCTCGAGATTGAAGGCGACCTTCTTCCTGCTCTTAAATCCCTCCGTGACGCCCTCAAAGCCAAAGCTGAATCTTTTGAGAAGATCATCAAAATCGGCCGAACTCATCTCCAAGACGCCACTCCTCTGACTTTAGGTCAAGAATTTGGTGGATATGTCGCCCAGCTCGACCGTAACGTCGAACGCATCGATGCCTGTCTTCCACATCTTCGCCAACTAGCGCAAGGCGGCACAGCAGTAGGCACAGGTTTGAACACCTTCGTTGGTTTCGCCGAAGGCATTGCAGAAGAAGTATCGAAGCTAACGGGTACGGAATTCAAAACTGCTCCGAACAAGTTCGAAGTACTCGCCGCGCATGACTCGGTAGTGGAAGCCAGCGGAACCCTCAACACGCTCGCCTGCTCTCTCTTCAAAATCGCCCAGGACATCCGCTATCTTGGATCCGGCCCCCGCTGCGGACTAGGAGAGTTGCAACTGCCGGAGAATGAACCCGGATCCTCCATCATGCCCGGTAAAGTCAACCCTACTCAATGCGAAGCACTTACCATGGTCGCTGCCCAGGTAATGGGCAACCACGTCGCGGCCACCGTCGGTGGCATGTCCGGCCAATTCGAACTCAACGTTTTCAAACCGCTCATGATCCGCAATCTATTACATAGCGTTCGCCTCCTTGCCGACGGAATGCGCAGCTTTGAGAAGAATCTGGTTGTGGGGATCAAGGCGGATGAGAAAAGAATTGCAACCCTATTGCATGAGAGCCTCATGCTGGTCACGTGCTTGAATCCCGTGATCGGTTATGATATGGCGAGTAAGGTGGCGAAGAATGCGCATAAGAGGGGTTTGACGCTTAAGCAGAGTGCGATGGAGTTAAAGGCGTTGAGCGAAGGGGATTTCGATAAGTATGTGAGGCCTGAGTTGATGTTGGCGCCGAAGGAGAAAAAATGAAGGGTATTGTAAAGAAGGAAACTAAGGTAAAGAACAGGAAGACAAAGGATGGTATATTCTGGCAATAAAGGTGTTGGTCTCAAAGCTGCTTCAACATTTTGCCTTTTACCATCATATTGTGTATGTCCTTTAGAATACCGCGCACCCGATCGGTTACTTACCCTTTCTGTGCCTGGGTCACATTGATACCTTGTGCTACCATCCACATCTTGAGACTATGAAATATCCCTCAGGTCAATATTATTACCATGTTCAATCTAGCTGACGTTTGTCTGATTACTCAAGCACCAGACTGGTACAATAACATCTGATCCTTATGCACTATCGCCCGTCAATCTCAATGCAGTCGATCAACTTCCCATCCTACCTTGGCCTCCTCCATCGACTCTACGAGTATGATGGCCATGCCTGGTTCTTAGTCGGTGTACGTTATTGCGGACAATGAACCATGGGCGACAAAACATTCATCTACTGGCACACCCTCCGCGTTCCGCCTCTTTACAGGGTGCCGTCCCCGAAGAGGACAACCATGTCACGCGGCAGATTTCTACATTGGGATAGCAGGACCACTAACAGACCCTTCAACCAGTGCTCGAAACCGGCATACTAACTAGTTAGGAGAAAGAATATCTAGATTCCAAGCGACGGCTTCTATTCAAGAATCGCGGTGTTTCAATTTGTTTATCCGTGCCTAAGCCAATCTTTGTCCTCGCTTACTCTGTTTTCTTCATAGCTCTTCAGGTGTTGATGGGATCAGGCGGGAACCGCCTTAACTTACTTATGGCGCTCCTGATTGCTGATTCGCTTGGTGCGTCGTGCTGGATACTAGTTAGTACTACGTGATTACCGATGTGGTATCGCCGATATTGAGAAGGGATCCCTTCCTCTCGTTTTTTACTACCCCAGTGGTCGGTGTACTTGCTGTCTGGCTCACTGTATCTGGTTGGTGCGGGTGCACTTTGCATCGGAATGGTCTACGCACCCTATGACTCTCCTCGTATCCTCGGGATACTTCTGTCTTGCAGAGAGTTTGTACTGCAGTTTCGAGAATAGTGGAATGGCGTGCTCCTCCGAGGGAATGGGTTCTGCCCGAGATAGATCGTGTGGTGTGGGTTATGCTCAAGCAGGCAGCGTTATTGCTCGTCGCTGAAAGCACGGACTTCATGAGCTGTGAGTACGGTAAGTACAGGTGTACATCAAATGTAAACCCGCCCTTGAAGCGGTACAAAATCATGTCACTGCCAGACGATAACAGTATCATGACACGCTGCAGCAGAATTGGGATGTTGGGGAGGAAGAGTCTGATGATATCACGTTAGCTAAAACCTTGACTCTTGAAGCAGATGATGAAGCGTCTTCCTTCGCCAGCATGGGGAGCTGCTCCACACTACGGCATCATTGCCCTACTCTAACCTCAGCCATCTCACACATCACATTGGACCCACACGGCTTTCGCTGACGCCTTCTATTTTCTATTGTTTGTGCTTGTGCGAGCTGAAATAGTGACAAGACTTGAAGAGCATGGCATCATCTTGGAAGGAACCAGCTGAATGTGAGAGCCCGAGTCGTCTCCTCAAACTGAGATTCTGCAAAAACAGCATTCGTGGCCTGGTCACCGAGACCATTAGAAGGAACTTGTGGCCTCGCAGTCTTCTTCTCTCAAGCCTGTCAGCTAGCCCACCTCACAGGAAGACAAAGTGGAAAGTTACCTTCGTAGCTGACGCGACAAGCTGAGCTCTCCATCTGCGCTGATACTGTATTCCGCCAGCATCATTATGCTCAAGCATGTCTCTTCACCTCCAGAGAGAAAAAAAAAACATTATACGAACGAACGACGGGATTATCGCAGAACAGTGACCAGTTCCAGTAGGGCCGCACCGATTCAACGCCAGTCCAGTGGCCCATTGTTGTCTAGATTCTCTATCCAGCGTAGGAAAAGGAAGTGCACGCCTCAACTACGGCCGCCAGCTGCTTATTCATCGCCTTCTCCCTGACGATCAACGAGCAAAAGCGAGTGCGCGTGCATTCATCGCCGGAAATCAGCATTTTGATCAGCGTATGCCAGGTGAGAGCAGAAGAGGTGTGGCGGAGTTGAAGCAATCCTAGACAGAAAGGAAGGAAGGAAAAAGGAAGAGCCGAAGCTTCAGAATATATGGACTCCATTTCCACTCTCTCTTTTCCATATCTCGACTCAATGCCACCGAGATTTGAGAATCTCAGCATTTGAAGAAAAGAATCGTGGGTCTGATAATGGTGCTGAACCCTTACCGCCAGCACAAAGAGGTTAGAGGTCAAATCCTGTTGTGTGGCAGAGAGAGCGCCTAGATGCATCTTGCAAGCTTTCCAGATCTCATCGATAGAAGTAGGGTATGCAATACAAAAATCTACCCATTGAACCGCGTCGGATTTGCAAACGACCACCCGATAGTAGTAAAAAGCAAGGAGGGCCGTAGCACTATCCAAACCGGAAACATGCTACAAGACCAAAACTCGGCATTCTTAGCATGAATACATACATGCCACTTCTCAACAACTCATACACCAAGCATGTTCCATGACCGCATGCTGTGATGGTGGTAGCATACCCCGAGCGAAGCAACAGGCCAGGAAACCCGTAAACGTGGAGTTGGAGAAGTCACTCGGGTACTATTCCACCGAGCCTGCTTGGCCCAATACATACAGCTTCACGCTTCGGCCAGCACTGAAGGATACTCGAGATGGGCCGGTCCGTAGGGATTGAGATAGACAGGCACTCAAACAGGCATGAAAGGAGACTCCTTCAGATTTTAGTATTCGTATTCCACAGGGTTGTCGTCGAGGCCGCCCTGGGCGGTGCGTCTACTTGATCGCCTGGCAGATTGGCACGCATCAGTGATACTCCCCTCGAAAGGGACGACATGTGGACATATCGACGAAGCCGCCCATGCTGCAAATCAAGGTTGGACAAGACGAGGAGGATAGACTTCAATATTTGGGGTGTCATATTGATACATGTATACAGATACCGTTCTCGGGTCATTGTGGTAGCTTGTAGCACATGTGATTACTTTCCTCGTCAGCAACCAGCAGCAACAGCAAACATGATATCTTGGTCAGGCACACGGCTTCGCTGCATTGTATCATCACATTTTCACTGCGACATGATCATCCATGTACTTATCGATGTCACCCAAAAAGCACGCGGCAACAATACTGATCACCCCGAACGCGATGCTAGCCAGATAGACATAGCTATAGCTCTTTGAATAAGCCAACTTGCCCGCGTCGATGACCATCTGATACGCCGTCTCGTTGCCAGCGATCCCGGGTATCTCGCGAATGCCTTCGATGAGCGATACGGCAGTAAGCTCGATGGCGTGGGTGATGGCGGTGACATCCGTGATGTTGAGCTGCGTGGCCATGACGCCGCCGATATAGGATTGGGCATTGGAGACGAATTTCGAGATGAAGATGTTGAAGTAGACGGCGTAGCCGATTGCGCCGCCGATGACACGGACCGAGAGCGTCAGCGCCGTGATGGTGGCGATCAGGTCGTCAGGGCAGATGATCGTGGATATGATGGTCGCGGGCACCACGATGCCGCCGATTCCTAACCCGGCAAGGATGAGGAGTCCCCATAATTTGCCGAGGTTGTCGGGGGTGGCTGCGGCGAGACTGCCACAGCCGGCTGTCATGAGGACGGCGGAGATAATCATGAGTTCTTTGTTGTGGCCGTAGGCGCTGAGAAGCCAGAGGACAACACAAGCGCCGGCGAGGATGCCAATGCCGAGGGGGAGGCCGCGGATGCCGACGCCGATGGGATCGTGGTTGTAGACGTTGAAGGCTTGCGTTGGCCAGAATACCAAAGCGCTGAAGAAGTTCGCCCCGGAGATGAATGTGATGATGAGGATCAGGGCAAGGATTCGCGGCTCTCGCTTCAAGCGGGCAGGGAACATTGGGTACTTGGCGCCATAGGCTTCCCAGATGCAGAAGACTCCGAGCAGGCCTGCCCCTAGCAAGAGGGGAACAAGGACATGTGCAGACGACCAGGCGTACTGAGGAGTTGTCAGTGCGAAAGCTGAGGGATGGATGTTCATGGTAGAACCCACCTGATACCCGCCCCACAGCAGACCAGCCATGAATAATATCAAACCACCGATGCTCAACAACCCACCGATCCAGTCAATTTCCGCTAAGATCTGCTTCCTCGTCGACACTCTGGGGTGCACCGGAGGAGGTGGGAAGTAGAAGAATAGTGTTGCGAATAGCCCGACCGCAGCCCATGCTCCACCTGTTGCTGGTTTTAGCGCCCACTTCTCTCGGAATGAGTTTTGGTAGGGACATACAGAGAGCGCCACAATATCTCCACCCAGCCTTTGCCGCAATCAGCTGCGCCCAAAGAACTGACGGAATAAATGGAAGAATGGTCAACATCAGCACAGCAACATATTTTCCACGATTCCGAGTTGGCGCCAGCTCCGCTGTGCCAGCAAGGGCAGTCAATTCACAGATTCCAGCACCGACGCCTGCGATCGCCATGCCTGCAATGAAGGTATTCATGACTTGGGCCGTGCTGCAGATAATCATGGCAACCACCAGCAAGACTCCCCCCATCAAAGCCACATACCGACGACCCATCAGATCGGAAATGGAGCCCACAAAAGGGCATACGGCAGCGAGTGCAAGGAGATAAGCTAGAACAAACCAGACATAGCGGTCGAGCCCTCCGATGTCACTATAAATGTAGGGAGGGACAGCACCTGGAATACGGTCAAAATATTCGGTGTATCCAGGAAGACAGACGTACCGAGAATGTAGGCCGGGATCTGACTGCCGGTCCAGAGAAACGCCAAGGCTATTAAGCTCATGGCTCTACGAAAGGACATCTGCGATACTTAGTTTCTGAAGGTGCTGCATGGAGTAATATCGGGCTGCCAGGAGAAAACTTACGCGAGGCTCGACATCATCATTCTTATCGTCTCCGCAAGTTTGAAATTCGTGCTTGTCGTAGTCAGCAGGATAAGCTGAGCCCTGCCATTTAGGACCTCCTACTTCGACACGCGTGCGAGTATTGTCCTTACTCATCCCAACCCGGGTCTCCGAGTAGTTATCGCTAGTAGCCATGGCTGGGTCTTGTGAGATGTGTAGACCGCTTGGAAAGGAAACGAAGCTTGGTGTATAGAGATATGTGGCAGCCACCAAGGGGTGCACAGGATGAGGAAGAGGCATGAAACGAAAAGGACGTAGAAATGCGAGATTTAAGTTAGCGAAGTGCTAGGGACATGGTTACATATGCCGATACCACTATATTCTGAACACAGATATGGTCATCATTCAGCGACCATTAACCGGGACCATAGATAGTAGACTTGGGGTCATGAGTTAGTGTGTCTGCAACACTCATTCACTAGCCGCCAGTAATGAGCAGCTCGTCCTCTGTTCCATTCATGATGGCTACTCAGAGATCTACCACTTTTCTTGATTGGTTTGGAGCTCGCGCTATGCGGTTCCGGACGCTGAACACCAGCAGGGCTGTTGGCTTGTGGCTTTATGCAGACCCTGTGTAACTCAGTATGCATGGTGATGTGCACCTGCGTCACTTAGTGGACCGTTCGAGGCTTCGATCAGCCAACATAGCACATTCAGATTCTTGAAGATGTTCAATAGGAAGCGCGGCGGAGACGGCAGTGATTCTGGAGTTTCGTTCCAACTTAGTATGGCGAGGATATCGCATTGTAGAGAATCCAGGTTCGGGATAGAAGAGAGCAAAACGAATCGACCACGACAGCGCTAATAGGAATTGAAGCAATCTTGTTGGTTGAACGCAACTGACAAGGAGCAGAATTCAGGTTAACCATGATCAAGTTGCCAAACGCTGGTAGTAAAAGGCTTCTTCTTTCCGAATTGGAATCGAAGGTACCCAGCTCGGGTGCATGGGGTTCTACCGTAATGCAGAGGCTCGCTGTCACGAATAGTAATCTGTCGCATACACCAGTAGGTAGCATGAGAGGATAAAAGGCAGAAGGCGATCGGCCATTGATAGTGCTGATAGGAATTAGACCAATTCGACTTTGACCTCAACCCTCAAGTCAAGACACCCTCAATAGTTGCGGGCCCAAATCTGTTCGGGTCCACCACTGAAGAGTTATCGTGGTAGGCATTTTTACCTCTTTACGTGAGATGAAACCCGTCAATTATGCTGTGGCACCTGTGCCCGGGATTTAGGTGTTACTGCGGTAGAGGGCATAAATAATGTTAATCCGGTGTTAGTAACGCCAAGTAAATATACCGCGCCACGTATAAAACTCTTGCCGTATTTAGGATAGAGGCCTAGCACTGCGCAGAGTAGCGACAGCGCTACTGTACATGGGCGTCAAGGATCTGTATCTACGTACTACGTAGTAGAGCGCTGGGAGTGGCGAATACTAGCGCGAAGCTAGCAATATTTACTACGTAGTATGCCTGATACCGCACTACAGGGGGCCCTAAAATATTGTTAGGCTGGCCTTGGTAATATTGGTTCAGATCGCGCCTGTTAGCTAGTCTCTTGTCACTCTAATTCAGCGCTAGGCCTCACAGTGCTATCTAAACGTACGCGCTATGACGACAATCTCCGTAGCTAATTATGAGCTACGAGAAGCTATTAACGTAACGTAGTAGTAAAGTTTCTTGGAATGCTGTACCTGTGGGCTATCTCAACGAACGGCTTGAGGGGATGCCTGCGCGTTGTTAAACAGTTGTAGATGCTAATGACATAGGGATTACAGAGTAGACACTCGATACTAGATGGGTAGGCTAGTCTGAATTCAGGGATTTCTAAGCATTCTATGTTGGAATACTTAGTACTACTTAGCAGGGCAGTGGCAGAGCACAGTGCCAAGGCTGTTGTCACGTGACTCTGCACACCCTACTATATTAGCCTGCTCCCCTTTCTTAGATAGATTCTGCATACACGGAGAGTAGATAATTCATATCATCCACCTCATCACTCTACGTAGTATACTCACTGTGGCAAGCGCAGATACATGGCGTTGTATTTTACCTAGCGTTACTAGACCCAGCCTGACAATATATATCCCCCTCTCCCCCCTAGTAGTACGTCCCCAAAGTTTGTGGTGCTCCATTCTGGTGTGTGGGTGTGCTTCAGATGCATCATTTCACCGCAGGTGGTCTGTGGTGGTTACGTTTTGAAATTGCTACGGAGGCATAGGGTTGTAACGATCATTGTTTGCCAACCTGTTCGCCCTAATGAGACACAAACACAACTGAAGAGCCAGGTCGCGCTATTCTGCAGCAAAACGGAGTCAATTTGTGTGACTCGTGATTGCGATCCACATCCCCATAGTTCTATCCATACATTTCTTCCCGATACCTTACGAATACTCGACCAAACCCCAAATATCTTGTCGGTGCAGTCAAGCCTTTTCTCCTCGCTTCTATATTTGTACTGCTCCGAAAGCGGAAATGTTGTTGTTTGGGTATGCAGTGCTTGCGATCTGCGCAGTTCCCAAGTGGCCGAAGCGACCATATTAGGTCTGATTCGCTTTCTCCGACAAGATATATCTGCTTCTGTTTTTGTGCTGGGTGTTGTGGTGCCTCCGCATCCTAGTAACGATAACGTGGTACCCAGCCACATGTCCACAATTCGACGCGCTACTGGTTACACCCACTCGCTCAGGTGATGTTTCCATGCTCGTCCAGCTGAAAAGGATGCCGCACCCTAAAGACGCCATAGCCGAACGCTAGGGTTGTTTGATCGAATGTTGGTTGGTCGACTGATGCGTCGCCCCGTTCAATGTAAGCAATGATAGCATCTCTCCGCTCAGTGGGCTGCATCTTGTACAATGACTCGATCGATTCACCATTAGAGAGAGCGGCGTTACTCGCGGGTAGAGCATAGAGAGTGTAGACCTCGCCTGGAATCACCTTTTTCTTGAACTGTATAGCCAATTTGTGCAAATCACCAGTGCCTAGTGGAAAGACTTCAGAGGCGACCCTTTGCATAGCTTCCTTCAGCATGGTGGACAAGATTCCCCCGTGGACAACATCGGGCCAACCTTCGATGCCATTTCCAAAGTAGACGATCATGGTGAGCATCCCAAGATTCCGATGAAAGAATATCCTCTGGATCGAAGCATTGTCAGTAAGCGGAGAAGTGTCTCCAGTGAAAGTCTTACTTGTATGATGCCTTTCGAGCCAGTAAGCGTGCCCGTGACAAAATGCAAGCCCTTGCCAGCATCGCCCGACACCATGCGAGGTGGGACTGGCCATTCCTCCCACCCTGGATCATTGAGAAGCACCTCCATTGCAGGATATTCGTTCATCATTTCTGTAATCTCCTCCAGCATCTCGCTCTCCTCTTCACTTCCTGCCTCGAAAGGTCCTTGCAGGTATGCCCAAGTGATGAGACCCGTTCCTGCGCCAAAGCCAAATAGTAATGAGCATAATGCAAGTCCGGTCGCGTTCCACAAATTCCTCCCCAAAGTGGTTTCGGTAGGGAAGTTGGGTGCAACATTGAAGGGGTATGATCGAGTGCCGGTCTCTGACTGTGGCATTTGCCCAGGGCTTTGGAAATATTCTTTGTGAGGACCACCATGTTGATGGCGAGCCAGCTGTGGTCTTCGAGGCCTCGACCTGAGTAGTCGAGGCCTCAGTGAACAATACGCCTTACTTGACGCGCGATGCATCGGTCGTCAGATCTACCAGAGGTTATTGAAAATCATGCATTTATTTTCCGCTGCACAGGTCGCGTTGCGGGCTTGGCACCACACCCACATAGTATTTAGTAGAGTGGTCCGCGGGCGTACACCCTGTGAGGACCTTTATTTCAGTGTCACTATTTCCTCGCCCACTTAACTCTACCACTAGCCACACCTAAACAATACTATACTGGCGTGTTGTCTTCTTCGGAGCCTTTCAAACTATCGGACGATCATTTACCTTCTTCTATCTTCTTTCAGATTCTGTATCCATCTTGACAATCTCTTCTTGAATTTACTGTTGCTCAGGGCCTTTTGGCTATGAGTATCTATTGTATGGGTACTCCCGCCAAAAAGTAACAAGATGCCCAACAGCCATGGCAACTACGTAAGGGCTGTGTGCTCAATTGCTTTATTCCAATCGAGGAAGGCCGTGATATGGAGAATCAGAATCCAGAGCAATAGGGACTTCCACAATCTTTCTCAGCGATTGTCCTTTATTCGTCGCCATAAACGCATACATCAAGAGTGTCAGGGTCGATGCGGACAGGGGCAAGCTCCACCTGCTATGTTTGTCCACGCAAAATACTATCGATTCGCGCATTTAGCACTGACATTACAGAAATCAGCTACATAATGCAAAATGACGCCAGTGAAGCCATTTTGGGGCGGAGGAAGAGGGTAGGGGGTGGGTCCTAAGACAGTCTATCAACACAGTGACTGCCAGATTTGGCTGCATATTCCAGGAAGCTGCTGGTAGCGATATCACCAGTTACTTGGAGTTCAATTACTCAGATACAAGAAATCTCAACTGGCCCAAAAAGGCCGTTTGTTGACAAATTTTGGGAGTCTCTTGAATGGTTAGCAGCGATAATATGTACTGCCATTCTAACCCCTTGTTTGTCGTCAGATGGCATAGGAGAACACGGTTTCATAATAGAGGGATATCAACCGACTGATGTTATCAAGCTATGGTAGTGGTATTGTGATGGACAAATACTATGGTATCTGGCAAAAGTAATGTCGGTGGGGCGCCAAGAGATCTAGCGCCATACGCTCTTGATACTCAACTCTTATTACGTGTCGTTATCCCTATCTTTGCCACACCATTGTGAGCTATATCCCTATTTCTGAGTTATCTACTAATAGATGGATCTTCTAGATGATCCTCCTGACCTCAATCATCCTTCAAATTCGCCTAATAGCCTTTTTTTAGAGCAATTTCGTCACTCCAAACATACCTCACGAGACCAACGACAAGATGTTCAAATTCTACACCGTGAGGGCTATACTCTAAAGCAAATTGCTAAAAAACAAGGGCTTACTGAACGTCAAGTTCGATATGCTATTCATTATCCTGCTACTCCTCAAAAACGGGCAGAAAGGCCTCAAAAAATTACTGCTGAGGAGCTAGAATATCTTATCAATTAGATATGTGCTTCGAAAGCAAATCGACGCTACTGTTGGGATGATATCCCTTGGGCAGCTAGTCTACCTCATCTTAGGATTTATGCTATTCGATATGCCCTTCAAAAAGCTGGCTTTCGTTGATATACTGCCCGTCGAAAACCTCCTATTTCCGAACAGAATCGAATCAAACGCCTTGAATTTGCACACAGCCATATCAATTAGAGTCAAGAGCAATGGGATAAGATTCTATAGAGTGATAAGACTTGGGTAACAGCTAAGAGGCATACAAAGACTTAGATTACACGTCGACAGGGTAAAGAACATAATCCTACTTGTATTGTTGAACGCGAACAACGCCTTAAAGGATGGATGTTTTGGGGTTGTTTCAATGCATCTCAAAAGGGCTTAGGGATCTTTTGGGAGAAGCATTAGGGGTCAATTTCAAGCGAATCATATTGCGAACATGTTGTTCTAATTATTGAGGGTTAGATTCGACTTAATAAACAAGCAGGGAGCTATCTTAATTTTATACAAGATAATGCTAAAGCTTATTATGTAATAGCAACATATAAAGAGCTTTAAGAACGTCAAATTTGATTAATTATTTAGCCTCCTTTTTCTCCTGATTTGAATCCAATTAAGATGGTATGAAATTGGATAAAAAACTATATTCAAGAGCATTTTCAGGAGAATATGGGATATGATGCTTTGCGTACAGCTGTTTTAGAGGCCTGGCAAGCAGTTCCAGAGTCATATCTACGCGAATTGAGTCAATTAATGCATGAGAGGTGCCAGGCAGTTATTGATGCAAACGGGATGTACACAAAGTACTAAACACCAAGTTTTGCAGTTGAGCTAGAACAAATAGCAAACAAACTGTTGCTAGGGTAACAAGCCAGTTTCAGTACCCTTGGCAGTAAAATTACTAACTAGAACGAAAATTTCTAGTGCCCCACCGACATTACTTTCGCCAGATACCATAGTAGATAGTATGCTGCTACTACTCACGCCGCAGCAAAATATGCTATCCCCTATTAAAATCAAGCTCATACGTAGTACGTAGATCCATACTGCCAAGAAAACTCTACATCGCACACCAAGGTTCAGCACTTATTACGTATGCAATATACTCGAGATCGACCACATACCTTCAGCGGTATGAATAGCCTCCAACTTATTCATGCTGGAACGAATTACTCCCAAGATGCATCAGAGCGATAGAACTCGCCCTTAATTGCAACGTTAGAGAGTGACGGTACGAGCTAAGCAAAGCTAGAGCTGCGTTCTGCTTTGCCTATTTCTTGCATGGTTGTAGAACATGTATGACCCAAACGCAGTCGACTAACGTGCTGTTGTATTTTACCCTGAGATTTGCCCAACAAAAGTGGCAACAGTTGGACGTGACTTGAGTGTGAGTCCATCAATCTTCCAAACTCATCTGAACTTCAGCCGTCCGATCTACAGCAACACACCAATCGTCCCATCCATACATCTACACATCTATCCCCTCCACAGTCACGCCCTTAGACCAGTTATACGTCATAACTCTTGAAACTTCGATGGCCGAGTCATGGGACACCATTGCCGCCACCAGATACAAACTGGCATCCAGACCACTCGTCACCCCTCCACTAGTAATCAATCTCAGTCCACCCAACCGCATGTCGGCTCTCCGTGCCACGCTCTCTCTTCTCCTCACGCTTTCCTTCCATGCATTACTTCCCTTCCTTGCGATTGACTTCCTTCTCCCATCCGGCCTCTTGCTCAATATGAATGGATTCTCTTCGAGCTTCTCACCCAGTTCAAATCGCGCGTTGTTGACTACATAGTTCTCCTCCATGACATCAGTCTGTTCGAGGTTCCCACGGCGGGCCGCGTCTTTGCACAGAATCTCCAACTTGGTGTAATAGTCTGGGTGCGTGGTTGCAGCCAGTCCTTGAAGGATACCCGCTTGAGCGAAGAGGAGGGAGGCTGTGCCGATGGACATGAGAGTGCGTTCTTTGCTTGGGTCGGAGGTTTGCAGGGCGGCGAAGGCGCGGATCAGCTTGGTGGGTTCTGACTTTGCAGGGTCAGACTTGAGGATCGCATCAATACCCGCTCCACCTGGGACGATCAGAACATCGTAATCATTGAGGTTTTCATGAGCGTCCTCGAAGTTCATGTCTGCTTTGACGGTCAGGCCTGAGGAGGAGGTTACGGCGGGGGTGGATGCCGCGATGGTGCATTCGAAGGCTTTGGATTCTGATATTGTACAACAACATGTCAGAACACTATTCCATGGACCATTTGGTCGAGGTGATCAGCTTGTCAAGGAACAGGAATGGACTGTGGGTTACCAGGATCATTGTTCTTCTGCAAAGCCCTGGTAAGAACCTCCAGAGGGCCACAGAGCTCTTGAGCTCCGAAATTGGGATGGAGGGCGAAGAGAACTTGGATGACTTCTACGGGCTCGTCGGGATGTTCTGCAATTGCACTCATCTTGTCTGATTCTATGGGTTGGGTTCAACTGAAATAATTTTGTGAAGTTGCATTGAGTAGTCACAACAGTGGGCGGTAAGGGATAACTTCAGCTACGGAACATTCCCCGCACTTGGTTTGCCAAGAGTTCTCCCGCGACAGCGCCCCGGCCCTAATCCCCGCCATGACTGCCAATGGGAATGCGGCAGTGACTAAGCTAGAACCCCTTAATTAATTAGAGTCTAGCCTTACCTACTAAGTTTTGTAGGTGGAAGACGGAAACATCAAGTACGTGGTAGTGAATACACATTCAGAACGCCTTCGTCTGCCCTTATGTGTGTCTGCAAGACAGCCCTGGCTTTGCGATAAGTGAAAGTGATTGTTGATTCACCTACAAAGGTCGTGCTCAATCCTTGACCACGGTGACTGCCAATGGTGCGTCCCGAAAGATTTCGCAGGTTATCAGGATGCAACCTATGCCGAGAGGGCCTCGTAGCTGGAGATGATCATGCTGAGGTAGACTTGCCGTCAAACTTCCTCCAAATCTGTCTCACTATCATTGTCTATATGTCATGCTCTTTGGTAAGAATTCTTATCATTGAGCAGCTTGAACATCAATGGACCCAGCAGCAAGTGTTGATCGACAACACAGCAACACAAAATCCGACCGCTGACTATGCAAGCCAAATCTCATTCAGTCTTCTCAGTTCCATGAGCCCGAAAGGCTTAGAAAAAGAAACTGCAAAGCCTACGGCCTGAGACACCACTGTAGCCATGATGGATATACTCAGCCTAAGCGTCCATGCCTTCGTGGTCGCTCTAGCATATAAGTCTTGGTGGGTGTTCGGCTCACCACTGAAGGGGATCCCTGGCCTCTTCCTGGCTAAGTTGACGAATATCTGGCGACTTGTTCTCGTCGCAAGAAACAGTCTCATACCGTAATAAGGGGTATGCACAAGTAATACGGCTCCGTAGTTAGGATTGGTCCCACCGTGCTTAGCCTGTCAAATCCACAATGAAACAAGATTGTCTATTCCACCCGTGGAGATTTCCAAAAGGTGGGATCATCAATACAGCGATGTTAGGTCTGCAGTACCGGTTTTCCGATGCCTCTTGCAGAGCGAGTTCTACCCCCTGACCGACCTTCAGATGGACGGCCAAATAATTGAAAATGTGTACAGTACCCGCAACAAGACAGACGCATGATTCTTTGCGGAGGCCGATACAAAAGCTTTACACTACAAGGAACGTGCTTAGATTTGAGCCCGAGGTAGATGAAATGGTTAAATTTTTCACCACGAAGCGTGATGGATACTGCGATGGACGCACGCTGGATCTGGACCGGATGCTGCTTTTCTGTAACGCAACACGAATTCGGAAATCGACGTGGCTGACTTTCAAATGCATTTACCTTCGATGTCATTAGCAGTGTCACTTCCCGCAAACCATTTAGATATATGGAGAAGGAATGCGACTTCGACGCATATACTCGATCGTGTAGAGGACTACTTTATGTCGGTTCGCCCGCCCTGCGAATGCATCTGCTCAGACCCTTCTTTGACTGTCAAAATAGATCGGACAAATGCCGTGGCTAGACCATTGCCTTTTGAAAAACCCTCTTGGAAGAATCGGGCCGCCATTATTCGACGCCGCAGGCGCATTTATATACCAACAGATCATGACGCGTAAGGCTAACAAGGACCATGCCGGCGTCCAAGGTGACTTCTTAGATGACTTTCTCGACCTTGGAGGTGACGATATCAACTTCGTTCTCCGAGGGACATTTACACATGTGTGTTCATGGACCATAGTCAAGCAACCAATCTGCATTTTAGAGGTTGACGCAGATTATAGGTCGTACCAGGCGCCGATACGACTGCAATACAGCTCAGGGCTGCAGTATAATATATCGTCAGAACGTCCGGCGTACAAGCGAAGCACCAAAAAGAGCTTGATGCTGCTGAACTGTCATTACCAACAAGCTATCTTGCCCTCGAAGACCTTCCGTACTTAGACGCCTGCATTCAAGAAAGCATCAGGGTCCACCCAGGCGTTGGTCTGATACTCGAGCGGGTCGTTCCGAAAGGCGGTGTTAGACTTCCGGATGGTCCTTATGTTGCAGAAGGAACCATAGTCGGGATCACACCGTGGGTCGTGCATCTCGACGAGAAGATCTACAGTTCAGACTCGGGGGATTTTCGCGCAGCAAGGTGGCTGCCCGACGACGGTGAGAGGCTAGAGGATTTTGACGCAAGGAAGCAAGCCATGAGGGAGACAGAACTGACATTTGGCGCCGACGACCGAGTCTGTCTAGGCAAATAGATTGCCATGGTGGAAATCTTCAAGCTGATCGCCACGCTTTTCTTGCTTTTTGAAGTACGAAACAATCTAAGAACAAGATGGAAATGGTTACTGACATCTGTGACAGTTGGAATGGGCTGACCCTAGAAAAGATTGGAAGATTATCAACAGCTGGTTTGTGAGACGCCTTGGTATCGAGATGAAAGTTCGTAGGAGAAAGCAGAAGTCACAAGTCCCACGTCCCTCGACGTGACGGCAAATCCTGTCTGAAGACATTTACTGCAACTCGATATAGACAATAATTTGGATATGGTATCCTGTGCAAGCCTCTCATAGTTTAATGTAGTAGTGTGCAGCATCTCTAATCCTTAATCAATCGAAGTTTCATGTCTTGAAAGTGGCCAAACATAGTGGCAGGACGCAAGTTGGGAGAGTAAACGACTACTGAGGCTAGAAAGCTAACCTTGAAGTTGTGTGTATGCTCGTGAACTGGTCCCTGCGGTTACCGTCCTCTGCTTATGTACGCAGAACAATTTCTTCACCATTTCCTTCGATTCCGACCATATGTGTAAGAGGAGGGAACAGGACTTGCTTCGCCTTCGCACATCATAACCAATAAGACGCCTCTAGTAATAACAGACCAATTCCTGTGACTCGATGGGTATAGAATGGAAAATGGAGGCTCGTTGCCACCAACTTTTCTTCCCTAACCTCCTTTCGGTTGATCCAAGCGGAAATCAGCAAGGGCACATGCTACCCAGAAGATCAGGGTACACCATTTCCGAGGTTGAATTGGAGACTGCCAATGCTCCTTAGGACGATACAGCAGATGCAGCAGCCCACTCGCGACGGAACAGAGACTACACTGACGCGTATCCTCCTATATTCGCAAGAAAATCGTAAATCTCTCCTGGGGGAGGCAATTTGATCCCTGCGATGCTAATAAGCCAAATATAGGGGTAAGCCTGCAGCTGGAGAGCCACCCCGCTGTGACGAAGACGCCTAGAGAAAAGACCACAACAGCAGTCCACTTCGGCCTGACTCTCGGTTCACTCGGGCTTGCGCAAACGATGTGGCAACGACGTTTTCAAAAGCTTATAGAATGATGAGCCATGGCAGGATAGGCTCGTCAGCAACTTTGCCGAAGACATTTATCAGAAATGGTAGCCCGACGACAATGTCACTTGGACGGAAGTCTTCTCCATTGCACAAAAACAAGCAACGTTGACAAGGAAACATTCAGCCGAGACAGTGGTCAAGGCTATAATAAAGGCGGCAAATTTGACAGCAGTATAGGATCTTGATTAATGCTGTTGTGTGGTTGTAAGGCTGAGTATTAGATCCTGACCACATATTGTAGAACTGCGTTGCGTGATGGACAAGCCGTCAGTGTCTTTATAGAGGATTGGGACTGACAGCAGTATTGCAGCTATGCCGGCCAGCATGACAGAGGCAAAAACAATCATCTTTCCTGTTCCCAGGATGTTGATGAGATGCAAGCCAACTTTTGGGTAACGAACGTGTATCATACATGCAGTAGTAATGACGGCAATGACCGTATCTCGCACGTTCCATGGATCCGGAATAACGTCGAACGCTAGAGCCATATATCCTCCTAGCAAGATTCATTTTAATGCACTAAATCCTAGCGAAACGACGTAAGACATGAACATGCAGGTAGCAAGCATGCATGGTTGATGATGAATGCGTTCCGAATGGGCACGCTCGCCACACAAAAATCTCAAAGCAGAACCGAGCTCAAGATAGACGGCCAAACCGTAAAGTGAGATGCAATATCCAAGTATCCAAAGGGCAAGAGTCATACCCACTAATCCAACACAAGCGAAGCTGGATGAAGGTATAGAATAGATGCCGAACAACGTTGATCTTGCCTACGAGGATATCCGAGTTGGAGAAAGTGCTGAGTTTGTTGCCCTCTTGGTTAAAAGGCATAAGGCTAGGGGTGATAGCATGTTAGATTGAGGGAAGAAAACATTCTTCTCCTTCGGAGGATGATTCGCTTGGATTCGCTCAATAAGAGTTCGGGCGATGTGATCTTCTGGGTCCAGGTTCGACAGTCAAGTTGGCATCCTTCGAAAGATCGGAAGATGACGCACATTGGCTAGCTCTGGAACCAGCGTTGCAAACCATGATGTTGAATTGCTTGTGAAGGAGATTCTATCGTGCATAGGGATCGAGCTAGTGTCCTTGATGATCGTGTTTGATGTCGCTCTAATGTGTCCGTTAGAGGATGCAACGGACAGGCCGTTGTAAGTGACCCTGCGAAGCCATGTGTCGCTCTTTCTAGGATGTAATCGAATAAGTTTGACGTCTTGATGCTGCGAGTAAGCTCGGAATTTGCTTGGAGATATTCATTAATAAAAGAAGAAAACATCATAGTAACGATGAAGAATGACATGTCATCTAAGAAAGAAGGCAATCTGCGCAGATTTGAATCCTCAATGAAAATTGCCTCTCTACAATACCTGCAAGTGAATGTGATGTTTGATAAATGTAGAGGTATAGGCGTAGTTCATAGAGCTTGTAACCACGATACCTTGTACTACGAAGTTAGCTCATAATAGATAATTATCTTAACGAGGCTGTCTTAAAATCTGCCAACGAAGAGGTGCCTCATAGGTTATGAGAGCACATAGGAACGAAAAGTGAGTACCGAATGACTTCCAACCTCGGAGAGCTCGTTTAATCGCAGAGACCCGCCAAGCACTCCCGCTGGCTTTCTAAGCATCCCAGAAGGGCGTCAAATACGTGTCGAATAGATTTTGGCATTTCTGAAGAAGTGGAAAGCCGTCATTAGTTTCGATTTGTTGATGTAGACATTGGTTGATTTGTTGAACAACTTGAAGGTCGTGGATGATGTTGAAACACTCGCTTGGCACGAAACGCTTCCTACCAGTGATCAGGTTTGCTATACCATAAGCATACCAATGGCTCTCGGTCAACTATACGAATACATTCCCATGAACACTCTTCTTCTTACTCCAATCATACTATCAAAGGACTCGACCGGAAGATTAGTAGTGAATGGTTCTATGCAAAACCGGGATATCGCAACAAAGTTCAGGACACAGCAGCCTGTGGACCAAGACGGATCTTGAAAGCATTGTGTACATAGAGGCTGCAATCACGATGAAACCCAGCGAGAATCCTTGCGCCATGCAATAGAACATCTCCATCGTCGAGTCATGGATCCTTCGATAGCGCTTAGGAGGATATAAATTAAAGACCATCAACTAGTAGCTTCGAAAGCTGCCGCCAATTCTCTGCCAGCCCTGTCCCGCTGCTAATGTATGAATATTGGCATTGTGATTGTCCTCGCTCGCCACTCCGGCTCCCACCTCTCTTCGCCATCGGATGCGTAGGGAGCTCTAGGTTGTTGGGTTGGGATTCATCTAAGCAATCATAAGGCTCGGTCTTCAAGGGTTACGAGTAGATTCCAGCTTACCTTTCGCTTTCCTCCTGTCATTGTCACATTCACGAAACGCCTTGTGTATGTTATTCTCTTCTTTGCTCGGCCTTTGGGTGTCTTTTTCTTTTCTTGGGGCTCGACCTAACGATGACAAGTATCAGTGCCTATTCTTGAACTGTTGCCTTCGGCATTGATAATGGGCGAATTCTGATGTGCAGAGAGATGGTGGCGGTACCTTTGGGGTTTGAGACTTGACTTTGCCTGCGCGGGCCAAAGATCCGTGCACTTTACCCATGATTGCAAGTACAACTTAGATATTCTGGCGAATGTACTGGTTCCGTGCTGCTTGTCGATAATAGCAAGATGTTTGCTGTAGTAGTTGGGATGTAGAGAGTATGAGCCTTTATCGAAGTCAAGGTAGAGACCGAAAATCACAAAGAGGAGCCCTAACGCTAAGCTCTGTTTGGACATATGGTCTTGGCATCCTCTCCTGCTACTCATGTCTGAATGTGCTTCTCAACATCCATAGCCATCCATACTAGGATGGCTCTCTCGAGCTCTCTAGACTCATATCCTTCTCGAACTGCTAAAAGGCAATATGGTGATACATCCGCTGGCAATGCTAAGTTCTCCACCTGCTAGGCCACTACACATTTGTCCCATGATTCATTCCAGCAGCAACCCGTTCCAACAATCTCATCTATTCTTACCATTTGTGCACGTTCTATACGCTTTTGGTTTTCGCATGAGTCACTTCTACATATATAACCGTGTCGATCTGCTGCGTGATTTGATGCATGTTACGCATGGCTGATGACTAACAAGAGTGTACTGTTCTTGCAGCTTTACCGGATGCGATGGTAGGAATGTCATAAATGTAACTTGATTGTGCGAATCGGCCGGAAAGGAAATTTTCTGATCATTAGTGTTTAAGACACCGGCCCGAAGAAACGCTGAAAGAGGTAGACGTCTCCGTTCTGAATGACTGCTAGGTGGTCTATACATTGGATCGAGTGCCGGTCATTTTGCCGTTCCAGCTCGATCAGAGACCTGCGGAACAGATCTTGTGGTCTGCTTGTATCGTATACGTGTGCCTTCGCCCGATATGCTTCTTCGCCTGAATCGACTCCAAGGAGGAAGAGAAGACAAATTACTCTAGGCATGCCGCTGACAGGGTATCGGTAAGACCATTGGTCTTGATGGAGTAGGCAAAGGGATGCATCCAGGGGTGGAATCAGGCGTCGAAACTGAATTGTAAATTGTTCAAGTGACCTTTTGAGCGCAAAATATACCGGAAGATGGAAAAGAGATGAGAAGATTGTAACGTTGTACTACTTTATGTCACTAAAGAATGGAGCCAAACACCGTATTAGTCAAGGCGCCGACTTGCAGTAGGAGTAGAGAGTGAAATTTCTCACTCCAATGACTCCAGCATAACCTTTGATAAGGATGGATACCCACTCTATCTATGTCCTTGCGTACAGCGCCACTGATGCCAAAGTACAGCCAATGCATTTATGCGCGAATCTTACTTGATTCTTCCCCACTGTGCACGCTGTCCATCACCCTGCCCAAATCGTTACAATCATAGTACTCGTGGCACTTTGTTCTCCAGACTCTTTCATGACTCAATTTCCTCCTTAGAGGGAAGGTCAATGGCTCGATAAAGCAGAATCAGAGCAGAGTGGCTCTCCCCTAATACTAATCAGCACTTGTCACATGGAACTCAATAGGTGTACAAACCTCCTCCAGCCAGCGTCTCGATCTTTTCCAGATCAACCTCGCTCACTTTGTCATCGTTGAACCACCACCATTTACCGTCCTCTTCTCGTCGTTTCCCACCAGGGGCCTTGGGATCGTCTACCATCCTTCCGGTCTTTTTGACATAGCTTGTGTAATGCCCGCTATCGGCACTTGCACCTTGATGAGTGATGACTCCTCTCAATTCATATAGACCAGACCTATTCGAGCCTTCGTCAGCGGCCAAATCTGGATCTATAGCGGCATAAAGTTCCTTCTTTGCGGCCTTGATCGAAGCTTCGCGCTCTGCCTCATATTCAGCATCTGTTTTGTAGACATCAGATTCGTTGTTTTCTGGTTGCTTGGCTTTGCCACTTTTTTCGGCTTCTTTTCGTTCCTTTGCTTCCTGGGCTTTTTTGAGAGGTGCTGCTTCTGCCATCGCATCGTCGTGTTTGCGATCCTCCTCTTCCTTGTGCCTCAGCTTCTGTCTCTTGCGGGCTCTTTGAATGTCGTGCTCATCTTTCCGGATTTCTCGGACCTTATCTCGCACCGGAATCAGCTGCTTTCTTAGCTTTTCAGTACAGAATTCAACGACATCGAGCTCAGAAGGAAAGGTGACCTTGCGCATAATCTTGGCCTTTTTCCCAACTTCACGTTTCCAAAAGAAGCGAACAAAGTGGACAGTAAGGTATTTCGGCGCTCGAGAGATTCGAGATGTTTTTGTATAAATAGCGTCGCGACCCAAAGCTTCGGATTTTTTTTCTATCTCTTCGGAAAGACTGGCTACAATTCCATCACGAAGGTGATTGATATCTTTGTCAATATGACAGTCCAATTTCAAGAAGGTTTCTGCACCATGGATTGGTTCTTCCTTATCGACAGCTTCCGCAGGGGGTGTTAACGTTGTTTCGAATGTTCCAGCAAGATATCTGTCGATGAAGGAGATTGCTTCCTTTTTCTCTGAGCTTGAATCTGAAGAGATCTTTAGTTTTTGCCGTAATTGTGAAACGATCTGCGACCACGCTTCTTCTGCATCTTGCTGTGCATATCCATGTCCTGTTTTTGCCTTTTGCGCGAATTGAGGGAACGCCGTTCTAAGCGAGTTGAGAAACATTAATGGTGGAAATCCTTCTTGAGTCTCTGACATTTGCTTGTAAAGATCCCTTAATGATGCCGTAAGGTCTGCTGATGAACCCAATCCACCAAGACCGAGTTGACTGAGACTTTGGAGGTTTGAACCGGATGCAGCTGGCTCTGCTTTGTATAGTGCAAGCGTTTCTTGCATTTCTGGAACACTTTTCAAAACCTGTAAGGTTGAGTTTAGATAGCAAGTATTCCCGAGATTTTGTAGTCCAGCAGGTATAGCACCCTCTTGTTTTGCAATCTCAGCTGCTGTCATATCCTCCATGAATTTTATCTTTTCTTTCGGTTTCTCGAGGGCAGAAGTATCTCCGGAAGGAGTTCCCATCATCATGAAAGTTTGCCCAGGTTTCGCATTGAGGGAAGATAGTATGGTGTCATCTTTGAGTTGACCACCTTTGACGAGGATCTTTTGTCGTTCTGGTTCGACACCTGTGAGGGAATATAGTTGAGATTTGAAGGTTTCCCCGTTTGATTCTGGGTCAAGTTCGACTTCATGTTTTTTGCCTTGATGTTTGACGATGACTATAGTGGATTAGCAATGCTCCGCAGACTTTTCCACTAATTCAAGAGCCTACCAGGTATTGTAGCCATGATAACGTGAGTTTCTAATGTGATTACAGGTATGTTGAACTAAATTGTGGCGCTCACTGCCAGTCATTTTACATATTCGCGGACAATGATGCCAAGACGGAGAAGCAAGACCGAAGTTTAGCCATGACTCTTCACACGCTCGAGCTTTGAATAGCATGTTGCATCTACGGCGAGATGTTGCTAGAGAACAGATGCACGAGTATTGCCCAGTGAAGATCTAAATGCTTCCTCCTTCATGTCATTTTGACGCAGTCCAAACAAGGAACATCTTCCCGTAGATCTCTCCTTCCATCAAGGAACCCCGGAGCCCCGGAACCCTTGGACCATGGTCTGTTTTCATACCTTCTGGCTTGATTGTGACTGATCTCTCTCAGTCCCAATCTCTCCGGCCCTATCTGCAATGTGTCAGATCGTCACTCACTGCAGCTCTTTCACTATCCAATTTCGCATCACAAACGGCAGAAAGACACAATGTTCCGGAAATTGAAGCAGCCAGTTCACCAGAAGTGCTTCTAAACCCTTTGACTGTTGCGAGGAATGAAAATGAGAAGATTTTTATCGAACCGAGCGTTAACAGCGTTCGTGTGAGTATAAGAATAAAGCAGGCAGATGAGATTGAACATATTCTGGTCCACAAATTCACAAGATTCTTGACCCAAAGGGCGGAATCCTTTTTCATATTACGAAGGAAGCCAGTCAAGGTATATTATTCAAGTAGCTAGGGGAACATTGCTGATCCAATAGGGCTATGATATTTCCTTTCTCATCACCAACACGCATACCGAGGAAATGCTGAAGCATAAACTCGTAGATTTTATCATTCAATTCATGGAGGAGGTTGATAAAGAAATATCAGAGATGAAGCTATTTGTATCGTCTACCCTTGAGATTTGCTGCGCTTTTCTGACTGTGTTTGTAGTTGAACGCCAGAGCAAGATTTGTTGCAGAATCTTTTCTGACACCGGTATGCTTGGTTGTTCTTCTCTGTTTTCCTCTCTAACAACAATTCTTAGTTCGATTGAAGCGGTCTTTCAATGAAGGGCTTTCTTGACAAGACTTTGAAATGCACCTATTGCTATGGTCAGGGTTAACAAAGGAATATGTGCAGTTCTTTTAAGCAGCCATGCATAGTATGAAAGCGCAAGGCAACAGGCTTTGTCTCTTATGTCCACTCTTCGGGATCCAGAGTTGGGGAGGGGTGAGCAGCGACTTGGTCACAAATCTGATCACAGCAGTTACCTCCTTGGGGATTTCATTGGTCCATCCATGTCCAAAGCTATCTCTTGTGCAATCAAATTGAGTATATCGTCATCCATCTTGTTCAATTTTGTGCTTGCCAAGAATAGTGCATGCAGCGGCATCCCTTTTGAACGACTAACGCTCTTCAGTATATACCTAATCGGGACTAACGTAGAGTCTTGTTGCACAAGAATCGCAATGAAAGCAGGGCCACATCCAAAATCTAATACCGATAACCAGACGATCCTCCGAGATTGTTCCATATCCGTTCCAGTCTGTGCTCCTCACAAAGCAGACCAATTATCTGTGTCCCTCCTGCGTATATAACAAGTATGGAGGTGATAATAAAGGGTCCAGATGTCCTCAGAGCTAGGAGAGATAGTTTCATTGTGCAAGAGTGTCCCATCTGCGTCCGTTCAGTATTGTTTTCCCTGTTTTCTACCAGCTTCTCGGCGCTTACCTCATCGCCGAGACTGTTCAGGTCAGAATGTCCTGTGTTCACTTTGATAGCCTGCCCGGGATTGGCTGTGAGAACCTCCCTTGCACTATACCTCCTGACTTTGTTGTTCTAAAATGTGGTACCTCACTTCATCTCGCTTTTTATCACCACCACCACCACACCACCACACCACAAGATGGTGTGGCAACCCGGCCATGGAAGAGAGAGACGGGGTAAGAGCTTCCTTCTCACGATGTGCTCATACTGATAGTATCTCAGGGCCAAGGCCTCCTCTACCAGCCTTCGAATTTCCCTCCAGTCAGGAGGCAAGCGAGGTAAGGCTAGACGTTGGTTTTGATGAGTGAATGCGGAGGACCACCCTCATCCTCTTGCTGGAGCTATACTGACAGTGTTCTTGTACCATCAGAGTGCCACTGTTCGTTAATCAGGTAAGAAATATCTCTCTTTGTTCATCTCTCTTCTCTTTGAGTTTGCTTGTCCATCCAGTAAGGGCGTCTTTGCAGGCGTTCCTGTGGATACTATTTCTCTTCTGCTAACCTGCTCTCCTCATCTTGACTGGAAATGGATGCAAGGTCAGCGTCCACGCGGGCATTTTCTGGATACCACTTCTCGGCCTCTTCTGGTCTTCCTCCAAGGCAAAGGTGTTGAGCCTAGGTGAACTTTTGGATGAGATCCTATCCTGCTCTCTTGCGCTGAATATGCTGTTGGTGAACTTCTCAGTCTGGGTTCATATTCACTGATGAGAATTAATCTTTGCAAAGCACAAACCTCTATTGTGACAGCCGCGGCCGCTTGGAACACTCTGGGCAAATGCTTCTGCTTTTGTGTCTCTTGCATTTCATTCACTGACTTTGATACCAGGTCCACCCTAACCTTATTTTACCTTCTACTCACCGACAACATCAGGGCACAACCACACCTTCTCCCCGAACATCACCTCCTCCTCAAGACCCCATCGTCACTCCACCTCCCGAAAATCAGATCAAGATGAATCCCGTTCCTATAGAACCCGGTCTTCCATCCTCAGCGGATCCTTTCGCCGACCCTTTGTTTGGCATGACCTTCCACAATTTCGCCGTCCTGAAGATCGGCAATGTAAGTGATGTCTCGCCTCGATCTTCCGGCAGAACTCATGGTGTTCAGATTCCTTATGGAGTCACCAAATTAGAAATCGCCCACTTCCTCGGTCGTGACGCCCAAGCCGACATGATTGACACTTCTCTCGGAACTCCTATTCACATCATCATGGAACGCTCTACATCCAAAACTATGGATTGCTACATCGAAATGAAGACTCAAGGTGCTGCACTTGAGCATTTCAGACGTCACTGGGATGAGATTACTGGCGGGTCATGTCGACCTCCAAGAATTGGTCATCGACTTGTTACCGTCGATATGGCCACCACAGATGAATTGTTGAAAAATATGTTCCCACGTACGAAATGTGTTCGCTGGGAGAATGGACGACCTATCATCATGGAGAATGAGGACCCTTACAGCACTGGATTTACAGGCTACTTTACGAATGAAGAGATGGTTGGAATGGTTCGACATGCAGAACATCCACAGAGAGTTAGTAACTTGTGGTTTCGAGGCCCAGCTGACTTTTGTAGTCTCCTTTCAGCATTAAATGTCTGCAACGCACCTACGAATGCATGATCAGCACCCTACAGAAGGTGAATCATTTCCCCCTTGGTGGGTTAGCTGACGTCGTAGTTTCCATGGGCTGCTCCTGACACCTACACCCTCGGAGACCGCAACAGCCTCTTCATCACCTACATGAAGCTTCTCGACGTACTGGTCTACAAGGTCGATCAGGGGAATGTCGCTATGCTCAGTCAACCACTCCTTCTCGAATACATCTTCGCCGGTTTAAATTGCCGCGGTTTCGGAGAACGCCAACGAGGTCTGATTCATGCTCGTGGAGGCAGACATGCTGTGCCTATCCAGGTCCTTCAAATTCATCGCTACTGGCCTTTCGAAGTCATTGGCAAAAAACTTCACATCAAGGATGAGGAACTCTGCAAGGTATGTTCTTTCACGTATGTTGGCCTTGGCTGACGGTCTAGAACTATCTCGGCCTCATCGAGGAGGGCGTCCGAGTCCTCGGACTAGCCGAACTTCTGCCTAGCTACTTCATCAACGCGCCGGGACGTATGCCTGGAGGACTTGACCCACCCATTCCTATCACCCATTTCGAATTCAACGAATTATCCCAAGGACTCAAGTTTTCAGATGCTATCAAGCTCGAGATGCACTTGATACGAAAGATCTTCAAGGCTGGATACAAGGAGGTCCATGGATTTTATCCGGGAATCGAAGAGCCTCCCTTGCAGCAGATCTTGGCAGAAATCAGGGGCGAAGCTACGCAGACAAGTGTAGAGCTATCTATGGCAGCAAGCATGGAGCGTCTGAGGCTGCAAACCGCAAAGTTGAGAAAAGATTCTCCACCACAGAGCCCAAAGGGTACTCCTGCACCTCGCGATGTCGATGTCGTCGATGACGAAAACACTTCTCTTGACGTTGGCCGTCTGCCTCATGCCCCAGTCACGCCTACGGATGTTGAGCCTCGCCGCCGTCTCTCCGAGCCGCAACCTCTCACCCGCACACTCGGTGACAGCTTTGAGATTACACCTTTACGATCTTCGAGCGGTAGCAAGGCGGTCCCGATCCAGGATCCGAAGACGAAATTGCTGGTTACGCCGACAAAGCCAAGCAAGAGAACGAGCCTGAGAATTGATGACACTATCCAGGAGGAGAACGAGGATGACGATGGAGAGGATTGAGATTGGAATGAGAGCACTGGAAAGGATTTTCTAGGAAGGGGAGTTGGTTGCAATGACTGGAGCATGGAGTTGATGGACGATTGGGTGAGACGTTCACAGTCTCGTTGGCGGAGATGAGCTGAACGAGGTGCCTTCTTTGGCGTGCTAGTGTTTTTTTTCTTTCACACACATGAGAGTGAGGGCCTTTCATGGCGCACCGAAGCTTCTTTACACCGATGAGCATTGCATCGAGCCGAATATGAGCTACCAGCAAAGCGGCATTGTTGTCAGCCCGCATAGACCACACAGAGACACATTGACTTGATATCGGCCTCGTTCTATTTGTGCTGTGAATGTTACTGGAGCTCGTAGCTTTCTTTGCTAGATGGGGTCGAATACATCTGCTCTGCAGAGTGCAGTACTTCTCAGGTCCTTCGTAGCAACCCGTATCCTGCTGCAACCTGGCAAGGATCATATCAGCTTGCAATGCCACGGACCATAGTCCTCAAATGGGGCGGTCTATCCGACAATGTTCAGCAGTCACCAACCAGAGAGGTAGACCATAATTGCCCTGAATCCAAGGATAAGAAACGTTATTTCATAGCAAGCGTGGTGGGTGTTGCAGGAACTTAGCGTAGAGCATGAGCTTATTGGCTTCAGTACCGCTCTTTCAAACCTGTAAATGGTCTCAAGGGTTGGTCGGGGGATGCTGGATATGATTGCACAATCCTCCTTTGTTCATGGACAGACAGCAGGATCATATAAGAAAACTGTGCGAGATGTTGGACTCGAAGCCCTGCCATAGGCTGTACCAGCAAAACGCTCTCCATAGCAAAATGTTGGTATCGCGTGTGTAAGGCCAGTAGATGTCTCCAAGATAAGGGGTGGAGATGAATAGTGGAGTTGTAAGAGCCTGTGTATGGGGATGTCGGTCAAGCCTTCATAGATTGTATGCGAAAATACATTTTGGGATGTGAGCTAGCAAGAATTGAACGTGCGTGGCTGATGGAATCTGCCAGGTGTTTGTACTTACTATCAACAACGACGTTCCTTTGCCTTGTTCATCCCGTTTATCGACTAATAGCAGGAATTGTTATACTACGCACGATCGACGATCTCGCAGCAAGCGGTCCAAGTAGGCCTCTAACCCGAGAGGTCAAGCCGAACAGCAACCACTGGGCAATGGAAGCATACGCAGAAGCAGTCTCGGGAGGGAAACTAAGGTGGGTGCCTCTGAAGGAGATGCCCTCGATTCCTCAGGAAAGCAGTGCCGATGGGCTGCAGAATATCCCACTTTGGCACGATATCAAGCAGAAATGAATGGCAAAAGAGCGAGCAACGAGACTATTTAGAACGGAGTCCGATCTGAAATTCTTGTAGTTGTATAGGTATATGCGCTCTTCTAATACGTCAAAGTCATAAACGGGATAACCCAAGCGTCCCAAAATCTGCCTGCGCATTAGATTCAGACTAGTAGCACGACAAAGGGCGAAGTGTCTGCCGGATCATTGGTTGATATCCAAAATCTGTTCCAAGGTAAGGTTTTGGTGCTTACACGTACGATAGCTGAGATTTCTGATATCCCAAGTCTGTCTCCTGGCTAACACAATGCTCGGGCGACCAATATCTTTTTCCTTTTGTTGGTCAGATAAAGCTTCCAGATGTATGAAATGCCGCTATCTTCTTTGCATTCTGAGAAGCAATTCATTCCTCTATAAACTTGCATACTCTTGTTTGTCTTGCAAAAACAGAAATAAGGGACCCCAAAGCTCCTCTTGATTCTGTTCACTTCCAAATCCTTCGTGCACATCATCCAATCCTCCTCCCTCTACCCACAGACGTCATGTCCTCATTGGATATAAATACTCCAATTCAACACGTTTGCTCAAATGCATGTACGAAGGTCCAACTGTGTGCTGCCCTTCAACATACCTGTAGCCTGGCCTACCTTGAATTCCTCGAGATTCCGTCCTGTGCTTCGGCGGACGCTGTGCTCAAGATGATCATCGAGAAGCTTGGAGGCAACTCACGGAAGAGCATGATCAGGCAGTGGTTATCCCTCCGCAGAATGACTATGTCCGAAGTTGAAATTTCCTATGTGGGCCTATCAATCCCACATCTGCCTTACGGCCCTAACTGTTCTAGTTGTCGAGGTCACAGCTCGAAGCACAGCATCCACCATACCTAGTTCAATACAGCCAGAAGCAGCTACATGAGCTTCTCACCCAAGATGTTCAACTTCCTGAGATGGTGGCCCATGTCGCCGGCTTCGTTCTAGAGAACCGCCATTTCGTTCGAATCGATCCCACATCCGGGTCACTGACACCACAAAAGGCGCTCTTATTAGGATGGGAAAGAGACACGATGGCTATGTTGCGCACGATTGTTGTCGTTCTGTTGTTTTCTGTCTTTGTCGGTGTTTTGGTGGGTGTTGTTGTTCATGATGCCACCCTGGGGGTTGCTGTAAGCACGGGAGTAGCCGCTCTTCTTTCCTACGCGGAGTTGCTTGTGATATGGCAGCTCCGACAATGAGACAGGATTGTTTCTGAGTTGATTTGCATAGTCAGATGAGGCGACAGCTTCGCCCATTGTGGCACGGACTGTGTTCCGCTGATACTAGACTAAATCTATTGGGGCGCCAAACAACACGAGTTGTGATTGATCTGGAAGTATATTCCTCAGTTGGGTGTTATAAAGAGCGCGGAATATTGGGCTCGCGAAAGCGACGTGCTCGTTGGTGTGAATTACATAGCGGATATGTAAGATTACAAGGTAGTGCCGAGAAATTAGTGGGTGTCTCAAGAAAAGGGGGCGTTTGATAACTCTGTAATTACCACATGATACTAGCGCCTCTCTGCAAATTCCAAGCCATGAGTGTCTCGACCGTGCCTTTATGATAATGGTACTCGACACCATGGCATGCAAAGCAGGACCGCCTCTTCCCAAAGCGCAATTTTACAAGCGGCGAATTCGTTTAAGCCAGTCACGTCACGATAGTGGAGCATCTGCAGGGAGAAAATGACGCTTGAGGATGCAAAAAGATTTTGGCATTTGCAACCCTCGTTGGCGTCCGAAACAAGTGCTGGGATCGGCCAATGAAAGCTGTTGCAGCGAAAAACTAGCCTGTTATGTGTGAGGGATCATGGGCAGATATTGGCTTTTGCCAATAGCGATTGTTCTTTGAAGGCTTCGGTCCGAGATTTTCAAAGGCATGAATCCAAAATCTGAAGCCTACTGGGAAGGGTCCCTTCCAGGTTCACACTTATATCATTCAGAGACCTCTCCTGGCCCAATTCATGAACATAAAACCCTAGGGACCTTCATCGTGCTCCGTTTCATCAGGCTTTCATCGTTATTTGCAATATGGCTTCACAATCGATCCGGTCTGGGGGCATTTCAAGGACACTATCCGCATCTTGTACCTGGTTGAGAATCGTAGTCTTGAAGAGCTCAGATGTCAGATGACAACAAGATACCAATTTTCGGCAACGTAAGGCCCCCTTCGGCAAAACTCACTCACGATTGCTGAAGACAACGCTGAATCTGAAAAGCAAAGCACAATATGAACTCCACCTCAGAAAATGGGGTTTTCGCAAGAATCTAACCAAAGAAGAATGGGAGATAATTGCCTACAATATTGGAAAAAGGAAGAGAGAGCAAAAGGAGAGTGAAGTGTATGACGGCGAAAGGTTGATCGAATCAAAGAAAGTGAAGAAGGCGATTTCACGATATGGTCCTATTTCAGCAAGAGCCGTAACTCACTTCTCAGGTAATCATATTCACATTATCTCAAACTTCAGTTCCTCACATTGGAGACAGCGCCATTGCAGCAAATGCCTGATGGTATCATCATTCGTACACCACCGCCAACAAACCCTTCACCTCCGATGGTGAACCCTTCATCAGCATCAATCTGCTGCAGACACATTAGAACGAACACGAACCCTATTTTCATGGATGAGCTTCCCTTTGTCCAATTCAGTTTCGCGCTCAACATGGAAGGTATGTACACAAAGTCTATGACTTCTGATTCTTAAATCTCCCTGGTATTACAGTAGCAGTTTCTAGGCATTCTCAATACAATCGATTTCATGATGAGTTGTAAAGTTCCGGCTGACATGTTTATACAGCGAGATTTCCTTCAGCCATCTCCGAAAGCGGCAGTTCCCGACCCTTCATTCTACCCCAAGGCATTTGCTCTAGTATTTTTGACCAATTTATAACACGAACGAGTGGAGCAGAACCTTCAGATTCTTTCACTCAGACTGTTAAAGCCTTAATGCCAGAGGGCGTCTTCTCCAGTCATCCCATGAGTCTGCCGATGGAAGTGTCACCAGGGCATCCATCATTAACCGTCAACTTCCTCACTTTGACCATATTCTTGGCGTCAAATAAGCTTCTGGAGCCAACCGCGAATGTTAGTAAGAAGATCTATGAATGGCTAAAACGCGGATCGAATGCCGGTCTTATGGAGCACCTTTTGTCAACCGGTGGACCTACGGCTCAGGCGCTTGCTGAGAATCTCTTCAGACTCGCTATCGATGATGACGACCCTCGTACAGTCAAGAAAATGATGGAGTTAGGTGTCGACCCAAACCAACAGATATACCGCACTGTATGTGGTTCAATTATCACACCATTCCAACGCGCTTGTCAAATGCGCAGCGTAGGACTTGTTCGAGTATTGATAGATGCAGGAGCAGATGTCGAAGGCACAGAATCTCATGGATGGTCTGCACTAACGTGTGCTTTGGAGTACTTCGAAGACGATGATGACCCTTGCCCCGCCGAACTAGTACGACTTTTGTTAGGTGCTGGAACAAAGGTCAACCCCAGAGATGGACGATCCCCACTGGGCATAGCCGCAAAGTCAGGTTCAGTCGAGACTGTTGCTCTTCTTATTGTTGCAGGTGCCGAGGTAAACTTACCAGATGGGCGACTCGGCACTACTCCTCTCATGAAAGCTCTGCAGAGCGAATGGTTCATTTCTGATGACATTGTCATCGCTATTGTAATGAAACTTCTCGACGCCGGGGCCGATCCGAAAGCAACAGCCTGCTATGGTGGCAAATTTATGACGGCCTTGGAAGCTGCACTACTCAGAGACAGCAATGAATTAGTGCAGCTACTCTTGGATCGCGGAGCGCATATTCAAGAATCCGCGTTCCTCATGGTTGTCACAGCTTTGGACTTGGATACTGTCAAATTACTCCTCAATTCTGGCGCTCGAGTCACGCAGAGAGCGATTGAAATTGCAGCTCAAGCTGGCGACTGTGAGCTAGTTCTCTTCCTTCTCGAATCCGCAGAAGAGAGCATCAAAGAGAGAATTATCAGCGCTGCAATGATCAAGGCTATCCACTACGGCTTCACGGACGTACTTGATGCGTTAGATGCGTCTGATGTTGAGTTGATGGTTTCAGATGAACTGCCTACTGCTATTACGGCTGCTGCTGATAGGGGAGACACTCCTATACTTCGCTTGCTTCTTAGCAAAAACTCAAGGCATCGAGCAATTGTCAGTCAATTTCTGGGCGACTCGCTGTCCTGTGCCATCCTCAGAGGCCACAATGATATCACGGAAATGCTTCTTGCGGCTGGCGCAGATGTGAGCCCCAGGCTTCGTGCCGAGCGTGGATGGCCGCTTCTGGAGGCAATACACCGGAAAGACTTGGATCTTACAAGAAAGCTCTTGGCTGCGGGCGCCGCAGTGAATGCAGTAAGTCGGTTTGCCCAAAACTTTCGCCCCATGGAAACCAAGATGACTGTGCTGCCAGCAGCGGTCGCTTGGGGACATCGCCCTTAATCCGGAGTATCATCAATGCAGGAGCTTGGGTTAATGCAGTGGAACGCGGAAGATGGAAAACAGCACTCACTTTGGCTGTCGAGAAGGGAGATGCAAAAACCACTCAACTCTTGATAGATGCGGGTGCCGATGTCAATTTCCCATGTTTCGGACCTACACCCCTTGAAGCCGCAATAAAAAATAAGGACAATGACATGGTTGAATACCTACTTGGTAGGGGTGCAGATCCAGATGAAGATTCGCTCAGTGCAGCTGTCTCCGGGAGCGTGGAGCTGGCACGGTTAATTTTATCAGCGTTTTCAAAACAAGACGGGCGTTTACCAAAGCAATTTGGTTGTCACGCACTGGGACTTGCTATCCGATCGAAAAATGCTGCAATGATTGAATTTCTTCTTGCAAATGGGGTAGACCCAAGCACGCCCGTACCTTGGAAACATGGCAGGCATATAGGGCTCGACGCCAAAGAAGATTCTGCTCTTGGAACTGCCATAAAGACGGACAGAAGCGCTGACCTGTGGATTGTGCAGATGCTTTTGCGTTGGGGTGCAGATCCCAACAGCATCGTGAACAATTTCCTAATTTCTACGCCTCTCTCCGCAGCTATCGCAGAGCGAAACCTGGCAATGGTCAATATTTTGATCGAAGCAGGAGGGAACGTGAACGCAAGCATAACTGCTGCTTTGTGGGAGACACCTTTACAGCTGGCAGTCGAAAAAGGATGCATGAATATTATTCAAGTACTCTTGCAACATGGTGCTGATGTGAATGCGAGTGTAGCTGATGGTTTGATGGGGACACCTTTACAGTTGGCAATTGAGGAAGGACGTATAGATATTGTTCAAGTGCTCTTGCAGCATGGCGCTGATGTGAATGTGAGTGTAGTTGTTACTTCGACACACACCCCTTTGCAGCTGGCAGTCGAGAGGGGACGTATGGATATTGTCCAAGTACTCTTGGAGCATGGCGCTGACGTGAATGCACCACCATACGATAGATATGGGGCAACTGCACTCCAATTCGCCGCAATTGGTGGATATGTTGGGCTTGCTTATCTCCTTATGGAGAAAGAAGCTGATGTGAATGCTCCACCTGCGAGGACAGAAGGAAGAACGGCACTAGAAGGAGCGGCCGAGCACGGCCGCATCGACATGTTGCAACTCCTGCTCAAGGCCGGAGCGCAAGTCATAGGATCTGGAGGTGAGCAGTTCGAACGGGCAAAGAATTTTCGCTTCCAAGAACGGTCACATTGCTGCAAGACGAATCCTGGAATCACATTACACCCAATTTTGGGAAGGCTTTGAGGGTGGGATCTACTAGCTACAGACATGGGGATATTGAATAATTTACAGTTCTAGACTAGGGCCTTCGAATTTGTTCTCTCGGAGCTCGCTGCCATTGAGCCGATAAATGTTATCCTGATGGTGGGTCTTCAGTTACACCCAGCCACTTCAGAGTATCTCTCAATCAATACTGCCGTCGCTGTTGCGCACATATGCCATTGCTATCATAGAAACAGAAGGGGTATTTCGCGGAGTTTGCAGATTGAACGATCGCATCCAACTTTTCCACATGCATGAAAAAAAATAATCAAACTAGTCCTTCGACACCAGTATAAGATGGTTAAGGGAGCAAAGGGAGATGTGGAAGCCCAAAGCACCAAATCCAGGTATCGTTTCCAAGATATCTGGCGATGATGAGCAAAGTAATGCCGCAGGCAGCAGCAGAATTCACATCATATTTCCAATTCTGGGCACTGCTACGCAGAAGACACCGGTACGAGCATCGAAATTAGAGGTCGGAAAGCAGTGAGAGGGGAGAACTGGGATAAAACAAACGGATCAAATGAAAATCAAGAATGAGATACAGCCCTGATGATCCTCGTGGCCCTCTATTTTCCTTTTTGCTTTATGCCTCGACCCATCCATCGCCCGAAAGAGTTCGGACGGATATATCTTTAAGCTCTACAACGGAGCAATCGACTGGCGAGCCACGAAGCAACGCACGGTCACTACATCAAGTACTGAGGCGGAGCTACTATCGGCATCGGTAGCCGCCGAGAGACTATTTGGTGGACTCGATTCTTCAAAGCCATTGATTTCGATACGGAGCAAGATGTTGTAATTGGGTGTGACAATTTGCAAACTATACGGTTGTTCACTAAGGAAGGTCAAAAGCTCGATTCAAAGCTCCGTCACGTTGATATTCATCGTCATTGGCTCCGACAGGAACTACAAAACGGTACTATTCAACTTAAATACGCCAAAACAACTGAAATGTCAGCGGACGGTCTCATGAAGTCGCTGCCTTCGCAACAGCACGAAACGTTCATTCGACAGCTTGGGCTTGTACAAATTGAAAGCAAGTTAGCCCCGAAAAGACAAACAGACTCGGTTTGAAAACTACTCGGATTTAAGCGCCTTTCAACGAAGCCTCGAAAGGCGCTCCGCTGATGTCCGTGGTGCTAGCACTGACTGTACTCTATCATTGGCAAGTGTCCAGTACAGTCAAACCTCTGCTTCGAGGTGTTGCCTTGAGGACACCAAGAGGGAGGCGTGGTGCCGTGGTCGCAATGCCGATTTTAGGTCCCCGTCTGCATCACCCAGCCCTCGAGTTTGGAACTCCAACTGTTTGGATTCCTAATGGGTTCATTGGTGAAGGTGAAAATTTGGGTCTTTCAGACCGCGAGATTGCAAGGACACAGAAAATATACCGTGGCATGCTGCCGATGAGTAATGCGCACGCTGCTTTAGACGCAAAGGCTATCCTCCACGTGCACCACCTGGACCTACCACAAGATATCAGGTCAAGGTGGATGTAGAAACAAGAATCTGAGGGTGTCTCCATCAGAAAAGTGTGGCTTATGTCACTCATAAGAGCAGCAGTATTTAGACTCATCGATTATCTGGAAAGGTACTTTAGTCTCACACAAAATTGCTATGTGCTTGATCATTGCCTGTTTTGGGCGTAGAATCGCTGCTGGTGCGCTGTCTCTTCCGGTTTAGCCCTGCCCGGTCAGGCAAGGTGGCCCTCGCTGCTTAGCCTGGGTATAAAGAGCCCGCTGCTCCTCAATCTCCTCCGTCCTCCCTTCTTTTCTGTCTTCTAGTCCTTTCCCCTGGGGTACTTCGGTGTTCAAGATCCACTCTACGATAACCAACGGACGTCGCCTGGGTTTTGCAGAATCGTCGTGTTGTTTGTTGATCTCCGATTTCCGGCTTCAGTATTTGATACACCAGAAGAGTTTGGGAAAATACACATATTGCTGAGGTCGTGTGGGATACGATTCAGGCCAACGGGATCGCTTAATGATCATAGAAGTTCCGACCCTTTTGCAGCGCCTAGGAAATTTTTACGACCCGAAATCGAACCAACAGCGCTACCTTGGCCATGTTATTGACCTGTCCGACAGGCTTTCTTCGTCCATGTACCAAAGCATCAGACTAGAAGACCACAAACAAGTTCAAATACGTGTCAAGAACTGTTGAGAGATGAAGATGGTTGGTTTCTACGGCGTATTTGAAAAAGACAGGAGCTAAATACATGCCAAGCTGCTCGTTGACGGGAATGTCTTCGGGCAGGTACATTCGCA